TTTTTATTATTACAATTATCAATAAATGGCTATTGATTTTTCTTTTAAATTAGCAATGAAATACGAGAGGATAATTAACGACGGATACATATACACTCGCTTAATGGCGACGAATTTAGAGCTAAAATTACAAGAATATTAATGAATGTAATTTAGCAATAGCCCATTCCATTTCTATTGATCGATGGATTTTAAGTGGAAATAGCAACGATATGGTGCGGATATGAAACATTACAAACGACTAATTTAGATTAATTTAGCAACAAAAATTTAATAATTTAGCGATAAATATTCTATTGCTATTTAATGATGGAAGAAATATTCATTTCCTAAAAAAATAACAACTACCATATTAGGAACATAATACATGTTGTCTCTAATTTGTCGCTAATTGCATATAACGACATATTTTTGACAAATAACAATAGAAAAATTCATTGTTATTTAGTGAAATTACAGTAATGCAAGCTCGTAAACCAAGCATATACTACAACTCATGGTGAGCCTATTTTGAATTCTAAAGTCTTGAAATCTGGATACAATGCTTCAATTCCTAAGGTTGAACAACCAATTTTGGAGAGAAATATGCATGGTTAGATACACAAGTGTAAAAGGTTCCTTAAGATGAATTTTATACCTATTCACTAGTGGGTAGAGATTACATCCATGTATTTGGAAGGTTAAGCAAAAATCTAGTTTGAAGGTTTTATGGTAGGGAATGATTTAAGTAATTAAGAAAATTTTGTTAAAGAGATTTATAGGAGGTTTGGTAGTAAAGAGGGCATAGTCGAAGAGTTTAATAAGCTAATTCAAAATAGGGATATTGATGCATGTGTGGAACTATTTGAAGAGCTTAAGCCTTTAATGACTATGGCTAATCCTCATCTTTCTAGATCTTACTTTATCTTTAGCTTCATTAGCGAACTCAAAGAAGATATAAGACCAATGCTCAAAATTTTAAAGCCCAATGACCTAATCCAAGCCTCCGATTAAGCAAAATGGTAGAAAGAATCCCTTATCGCCATGTCAAAAAAAAAGTCGAATTATCTCGGAAACCTTGCCTTCTTACAATAACACTAAACCATATCTTAGTCAATACCAAAGAACTTATCCTTCCACAATCAATGAAAGCAATAACCACTCCAAACCTATTAATTTTGGCATTCCAAAAAAACAAACGAAACATTATAGGACTAAAGAAGAATATTGGGATTATGCTTTAGGTATGGGGAGAAATATTCTTCTAGCCATCAATGTGTAAAAAGATCCATACATGTGATAGAAGGGGATGAAGAGGAATGTGAGGAATTTACGGATGTGGAAGAGGATATTAAAGGAAAAGGATTGTTAGAAGACAAGATTGATGAGAAGTTTAGATTATCTTTACATGCCTTAGCTATATAGTATGCAAATGACACCATTAATATCAAAGAAAGTTGTAAGTACAACAAGATTACCATATTGATCGACAATGACGAGTACACATAGCTTCATCAATTGTGGTTTAGTTATAGAAATCAATACTAGAGTAGAAGATTCTTCTATATTATCCGTAACAATAGCCAATAGAGATGTTATAAAATGCCAAACTAGGAGTCTTGGCTTTACGTGGTTCATGTAAGGGTATGAATTCAAGGCTAATCTGTAGATGCTTAAGCTAGAAGAGTGTGACTCGATTTTGGGAGTGGAATGGCTCAAGAGGTACTCTCCTATCATGTTTAACTTCATTAACGTAAAGTTATCTTTCAAAAAGAAGGAAGGATGATTGAGCTTAAGGGTATCACATATATTAAACATATAAGTTTATAATAGATTTCAACTAACAAAATACATGAGCCATTAAAGGAAGCTGTGTATGGGTTGGTGGGATAAATTTTTTATATGGTAGCCTATGAGGAAAAAGTAGAGGAAAACAATAAGGAGATCAAGGCATTATTACTTCAATATGAAGATGTGTTTGCAAAACTAACGGGATTGCCTCCTAAGAGGCAATTTGACCATAAAATTTGCTTACGGTGAATGTAAGACCCTATAGGACCTCATTTGTGCAAAAAGAAGAAATGAAAAAATTAGTCAAATCAATGTTACAACAAAGAGTTATCCAACCAAGTTATAGTCCATTTGCATCACTAGTACTCTTGGTTAAGAAGAATGATGATAATTGGAGATTTTGTATGGATTATATATAGTTAAATGACATAACTATCAAAAAAAAATTTCCAATCCCATTGATTGATGATTTGTTAGGTGAGTCTGTAAGGATCTTCTTTCTTCTCCATTATCGACTTACATTCGGGCTTACACTAGGTTAAAATGTATGATAAGGATATTGAGAAGATCGTATTCAAGACTTACAAAGGACATTACAAATTCAAGATAATGCCTTTTGATTTAACTAATGCCCCTATTACTTTTTAAGCTATAATGAACACTATACTAGAGCCGGACTTGAGGAAATTTATGTTGGTGTTATTTGATGATATATTGATCTATAGCCCTACATTAAAGCTCTATATTAAGCATCTTGCTAAAGTGTTAGATGTTCTAAGAAGGCATAGACTATTTGTTAAAAGGTCCAAGTGTACTTTCTATCAAATGCAAATAAAGTACTTAAGGTATATCATTTCGAGTGTAGAAGTGGCTATTGACCCAAAAAGACTATTGTTGTTTGGGACTAGCCAATACCAAAATAGTGAAAGAATTGAAGGGATTTTTAGGATTGGCATGCTATTATAGGAAATTCATCCAAAATTATGGCTTAATCGGTAACTCATTAATTCGATTGATGAAGAAGAACAATTTCGGTTGAAATGACAAGACCCAGAAGCATTTGAACACTCGAGCACTTTATGAGGCTTCTACCCTAGCCTTACCTAGTTTCTAAAATCCTTTTATATTGGAAACCGATGCAAGTGGCAATGGGATTGGGGCGATCTTGTCTTAGGAAGGGAGGCCATTAGCATTCTTTAGAAAGGCTTTATGTCCTAAAAACCAAGGCATGTCAATTTATGAGAGCTTATTTGGTTATTCTTATGGTCGTGGGATAAGTTTACCATTAAGACTGATCATGAGAGTTTTAAATACTTATTAGAATAGAAGATCCATACACATATTTAAGGAAAAATGCGTACGAAGCTCTTAGGACTAAGATATAAGATGGAGAGAAGAATATTATGGTTGATGCTTTGTCTAGAAAGGAATTTTCATATGAGGGGGTTAAGGATAGCTCGCAAGAAAGAAGGATTAGTGCAATCACAACTATGGTTCCTACTTGGTATAGTAAAATTATAACTTATTACAACAATGATAGTAAGGTAAAAGAGATAATAACTATGAAAGTCGTTGACCCTACTATATTTTCCTCAATATATCGACATAGACGGTATATTAAGATACAAGCGAGAGATTGTTCATTAGAGAAGATAAAAAGTTACGAAAAAAAAAAAAGAAACTAGTGAAAACGACTTCATAATTATGTTATTAGAGGACATAATGGGCTATAGAACTCCTACATAAGGCTTAAGGGTGTTTTTTATTGGCCACTCATGAAGAAAATAGTAAAAACTTATGTGGAGGAGTGTGATGTTTGTATGAAGGCTAAGTCGGAAAAGATGACCTATCTAGGACAACTACAACCACTAACTATTCCCGATGGTGCTTGGAAAGATATAGTAATGAATTGTATTGAAGAATTGCATAAATCTAAAAGGAAGGATGTTATCTTAGTGATTGTGAATAGATTCACCAAGTTTGGGAATTTTATTGGCTTATCTTACGGTTTTTCAACTAAGGAGGTGGTTAAGAAATTTCTATAGTAGGCTTATAAGTTACATGGGTTGGCGACTTCGATTGTCATAGATAGGGATAAGATTTTTACTAATTCGTTTTGAAAGAAATCTTTCATGTACTTAGGCATCAAGTTGCACATGAGCTTAGCATACCACCCTCAAGCCGATGGCCGGACTAAGAGGTTAAATCAATATCTTGAGTCTTATTTAAGGTGCATGTGTATGGATTATCTCGAAGTGGTTTCACTAGTTGCATCTACCTCAATCGTGGTATAGCATAAGTTTTCATTCCGCCATTCAAACGTCTTGCTTCCAAGCTTTGTATGGCTTTTCACCACCTACTAATGAGATAGCTCTCTAGGAAACATCTTTAGTGGCTATTGTTGCTGACTTTGTACGAGAAAGGAAGGCCATGGATTTGTTCTTAAAGGCCAAGTTAGCACTAGGGTGGTAGAGAATGAAACAAATTACCGACCGAAGAGGACCGAGCAAGAATTTACAATTAGGGATTTTGCGTACTTGAGACTCCGACCTTATAGACAAGTAAGTATGGCCCTGCAAAAGAATTTTAAACCGAATCCAAAATACTATGAATACTATTACGTTACGCAATGAGTTGGAAAGGTGGCTTATAAGTTGGAGCGACCATAAAGATCTCTAATCCACCATGTTTTTCATGTCTCTTTATTAAAGAAAAAAGTGAGCAATGGTGTAATAGTTTCTACTTCTTTACCAACTATTGATGATGATGGTCATATGAAGTTGTCTCCAGTAGATGTGCTTGATAGGAGGATCATGAAGAGGAACAACCAAGCTAAAGTGATGGGGCTAATACAATGGAGTGGTTTGTCCGAGGAGGATACTACATGGGAAGTTTCGCATGATATGAAGGCTTAGTTTCTTTAATTTTTTTTTTTTTAAATTCTTGAGGACAAGGATACTGTCTAAGGGAGAGCGATGTTAGGAACTAAGAATTAGAGTTCTTTATTAAAGAACCGAGTTGTTTATTGATTGCTTATATGGAAATTAGTTATAGTGTTAAACGAATTATTATAGTCAATTAATGGTTATAATAAAAGGGAGAAGAAAGGAATTATAGAATTCATTCAATTCAGTTGTAACAAGAAATCAAATGAAAATTCTCTTCTCAAAACCACCACCTCCTCCTCCTCCTCCTAAATCTCTTTGTTAAGAAAAGCTCTTAACAAGCATTTATGATTCAAGAGCTCCTCCTACATGGCATCCAACAATTCCAAATGCTTTTGCCTGCTCAATTTATTGCTAGATTCTGATCGTTATTTTTCATGTCTGCTAATTATGTAGATGGAACTCTAAAAAAACATCTATCAATCCACGTACAATATAATCTAACTTTCACAAATTTTACTATATACAATTGGAAATAAATATGTACATTTAATTTTGTTCATTTTTTTAAGTAATAATTTGACAAATAAGAATTATTACAAAAAATATGACGCTGAAGAAGAACAATTATTTGACATCAAAGTAAGTGTCAAAAACACTTCCCTGACAGCCCACCATTCCTTTCATACCCATAAACCACCATCCTTTGCCTTCCAACATGACTTATGAAAAGGATAAACAACACTAAACAAATCAATTAGGACGACCATTAAATATGCAAAAGAATCATCATCACCAACGACCATAGTAGCTAGCCCTCCTCCTAATCAGTTAAAGCAAAAAAATATTTTTTTTTCTTTTTTCTTTTTTCTGATCAGCAGCTTCTTTTGTCTTTTTTCTTTTTGCTTTGGACTATTTTAAATCACAGGTGCACATGATTTTCTCTGCTATCCATCCAATCATGAAATCTTGAGTGGTCCCTTTAAGATGTGAACATTGCACGTGAATGCACAGACATAGTTAGCAGCAGCACATTGACAGCACCAAATCTTAGCCCCAGCTCTTCAGAATGTTTGTGACTGTCTTTTTTTCCAGTGAATTTTTCAAGCATGGTCAAGTGACCAGTAATGCACTCTAGTTAGCTTTTCTTTCAAACACCAAATTATTCCTATCCCACTTAATTAAGCATCCAAGAAAAATTTTCGGATGCTTAAGATGCTCCAAAATTCCTTCACTGTTTTGTAGGGACTGATCAGATAATGAAATCATATGTCACTTTGTACCATTTTCTTGTTTGTGATTCCATGATAAAGAGAATCTACTTTTCACTGTACCATTCCTGAAAAAATCCTGGAGAGGGATTAAACTTGAAGAAGCTGCTGTTCTTTTTCGGTAGCAGGAGTTGTGGGGTCATTTGATGGGGTTGATGATGCTGTTGGTGAAGTATTTTCCATCTTCAGGTTTTTTAGCTGATAAACTTGTCTTAGTCTCTCTATTTCCCTCTTCAATGCTTCTTGATGAGCTGCATTTATACCAAATCAACTAGCTGGTTAGGCCAATCGAATTTTTACCATACATTGGGACCATCAAGCTTCAGTAATCCAAATTTAAAACATTCAACGCATTTAAGCAAGGCAAGCAAGAAAAATGATTGCATTTATTACATGGTTCATCTGGACAAAACCAATCTTATTATAGAAACTCACCGCAAAAACGCATAATTATACTGGGATCTACTCCTTACAGTTTTGGCTCACGTAGACCTATCATGTCCCTCCTGACTTTTAACATCTTAGTAACCCTTATAGGATTAACACCTAATTAGTAAATTTATAGCAGTCGAGGACTTAAAATTGTTTGGCTGTCCCTTATGAACTGCACAACCTGCCAGGTGATGCATTTTATTCAGCCAGCTTCTTGTGCACAGATTTAGCTATCTGTGGATCAAGTCTATATAGTGAAAGTTTATTATACATAGCATAAAACTTTTGTCTTGTCTATAAAAACATGAAGATGATGATAAAAAAAGCATCTCATTTAATGTGTTGCTGTTGGATTTAGTTCCCATCTCAGCTCATCAACTTTGGTCCCCCATCAGAGAAAATTGAGCAAAACTTTTTTAAAAAAAAATACCACTTTTGAAATCTTAAGAATTGATTATTTATTAAAATTTGATTCCTTAATACAATATAGGAAAAAAAAAAAAAGGGGGGATCAATTCACATGCTATGCATTAAATAATGGAGTTGTATAATATTTGTTGGATAACAAAGAACATGCATTAACAGTTGCTTTAATTATATATGAAGTAGATTATAGCTTAAGATAACTAGCCGACCCCTAGCTATAACTTGTCTAGGGCTGAAACTACTGTTACAGTATTATATCCTGATTAAGTTGAGATTAAGGGTTTAATTAGTTGGATAATTATATGTGAACTTACCATCTTTGAAAATCTTATCTTGAGCCAGTGCAGCGATTCTTTGCTTAAGAGCACTGTTGTCAACGTTTAGAAGCAACCTCTGATGGTCTAGATATGCAACCCTTGGTGATAATATTGAAACTTCAGCCTTCATTAAGCACAGATGCAAAATCATTAGCAAAATATTGATGAACAATTGTAAGAGAGAATTCAAGGGAAAATTAAAAACTACATACTTGCAATGATGTTACACTACGTTCAAGCTCAGCTATGTACTGCAGCTTCCTCACCCGGGATCTTTGAGCAGATTGTCTGTTTGCCAAGATTCTAATAATGCAAACAAAAAACAAAAAAATAAAATAAAACTAATCACTCAAATTAAGTTAATTACTAGAATATGATCATTTCTCATTTGCAATTGTGAGTCCATAAATTAACAATATTATTAATATTGTCTAGTATATATAACTCTGCCAAGTAGGACTGATTTTTGCTTTCTCTAAAACCATCTAGTGGTTGAAACAACAATTCTTGTCAAGCTAATCCTTGATTCTTTCCAATCCTAGTTTAGAACTTTTGAGATGACCTTCTCTTTTCATGTTAAAGATACCTAAATTAGTTGCCATCCATATGAACGAAACGACTACATTGCATGTTAATATTTATGGCTTGGGATTCTTTGAAAAAAAAAACATATATTATACAAGTTATGAGAAGAAGGGTTTGGATTTGACCTTTGCTAACTTAATTAAGAATCAAAACATACTAACATTTGCTTGGAAAATGAAAAATAACGAAAATTTTCACTTTGTGTTAAGTGTTCGCTTACCTCTTAACTCTCTTGGGATCAATTTTTTTATCATTTGAAGAATTAGCAGGATTGGTTGTGCTTGGGACAGTACTTGGTGTCTCCCATTCAGATAGACTTTGCCCGTCATCATTCTCATTCTTCGCCTTCTTCTGCTGCTGTTGTTCCTGCTGCTTATGATCAGACAGCGTAGCTTGTTTCTCATCATTAATGCTGTTATGATCAGACGGCGAAGAAGGTGTGGAGCTTGAATGAGGAGCCGCCACAGCATTGGAGATATCATCGTTAAACATGGACAAAAACTGTTCATCATCAAATTTGTCGAAGTCACTGCTGCTGTTATGTCCTGACCTTAATGCGGGTGCAGTACCCGTGGCACGACATTCCTCTAGCATTGGTGCTTCTTCTAAAAATGCAATGGAGTCACTCACCGACCTCCGGTGCGTCCCTCGTCTCGTCGACGAGAAGTCAAGGAATTCATCAACCCACGAAGGGTTTTGCAACGAAGTAGTAGCGGTGGTGGTGGCAGCAATAACATCTGCGGTGGTCGCATTAGCATTATGGGGTGGTGATGTCCCCATAATGCTAATGGAAGGCAATGTTTTGTGAGAAAAATCAGGCCAACTTGGTGTCATATTGTTTGGTATTTTTGGAGGTAATTGTGCCATTTGGTAATGTTGTAATCTCCTCAACAACAGCAACAATCTAACAAATTAACAATCCCAAATAACACAATTAATCAAAAAAAATATGATGATCAAAGAAAGATCTCAAAAAAAGACAATCTTTTACAAATTCACATACAATAATAATAATGTCCAACCAGTAGTTGGTGTTGCTGATTAAATAGATGAAGAATGTAATGTTAGAGGGAGGGTAAGGAAATGGGGGAAAGAAAGACACAAGAAGATCAACAAGAAGAACAAGAACATCATCATCATTAAAAGCCCAACCTTTCTTTCTTTTGATCCCATGTCTTCCTATGAAAATATATATATTCTTTATAATCTTAGAATATTTCTGTTCTTCTCTCTCTCTCTCTCTTATCAATGTATCAATGTGGGGAGGGAACATGCAGTGGGGTAACATGGAGGAAAGATTGGACAGCTATCAACAGCTAGTTGTGTCTCAACGGTATTACTGGAAAGTCGCTAGTTGTTTATTAAGTAGCGGAATCAGTGACCACGTGCCCTTAGTGACCGTCCCTTCAGTGGGTACCTTACCCTTATAATAGTCTCATTATTATTACTTTCTCTCTGCCAGATAAATTGTCTTATATATATACATATATGTCAAAATTTTAAATAATATATTTTTTAAAAATATTTTTAAGTAAATTTTATTTTATAAAAAAATTTCTTAAATATAATTTTAAAATAAAAATATCATTGCAACAAAATAATTAATATTTTTTTAGAGTAAGCAAGTATTTATTTCACTGCATAACAAAAGAAACCTTCCTACATCCCTAAAATTATCGTGTCTTTTCTTATCTAAATCACCATTCCATACATATTTTTCACCCGCTTCTTAAATAAACACCTCCTATCAATCACTCCTTTATGTTAAATTGTGAAGATTAATGTGAATATAACCTACAAATTAGTGTGCTATATAGAGATAATATGATTTTTTTTAATCACCTTAATCGTCTATATTATAAATATAAATAATATCTTTTGTATTGAATGTTGATTGAAAACCTAAAAAAAATTTCAATGCAGTCGTTAAATATGAACAATTGACGAATTACATAAATTTTTATGTCATACGATTGTTTCTTATTTCTATATTTTATCTTTTTACTTAATTTGTTTCCTAACAATCCATTTTCTAGGTATTTTTTACTAGAATGCCTTTCGTTTAATCACTTCCATACCTTCTTATCTTATTGCATTTTAGAAATAATTAATGGTGTAAATAATGTGAAATATATTAGGGTACATTTAAAAATAAAATAATTGATTATGGTTATTATGGAAAAATAATAATTTTTTGGATAGAAATTTTAGTTTCTTCGTTTTCTATCTCCATATGGGGTATTTTCCTTCTTCCAAAATCAAATCGCCAATACCTCTTTCTATTAGACAGAATCAGCTTCGAATTTCTTGTATTTTCATTTTCAAAGTGAGATATATGACTCTTTAAAATAAAAGGTAAAATATATTAATTCTTTAAGAGTGAATTTTAATTTACCCTTTTGAGAACAGGGTAATTTTAATTTCTCCTCTTGAGGTTTCTTTCAATTGTCTTAATATCCTCGGTCAGATTTCAATATTAGATCAACTAATAATTTTTCTTTTCAATCTTTAACGTTTGAAATTTGATAAAATAAAACTTTATAGATAGTTTGATGAGATAAAATCTTTAACTTTCAATTAAAATGTCCAAATGCATTTATGATTTATACTTAAAAATATAAATAGAAAAATAAATACCAAACTACCCTGCTCATATCTATTAAGAAACTATCCTAAAATTTCGTTTTAGATTCACCAACCCCTTTAAGGCCTTAAAAGTATTTTTTTTACAATTTAACCCTTTATTTAGAATTTTTTTTTTTTTTTTTTTTTACTTTCAAAGTTTCCAAAAAAAAAAAAAAACAATTGGTCTCTAAATTATAAATTTTGTATAATTAGATATGTGTATGTTAATTTTGTATGATCAGATCTCTATATGTTAATTTTTTTTATTAACATGGTATCTTATATTTCAAAATATAAATAATATACATGGTATCATGAATTTGAACTTTTTAATTGGAGTAGTAAATTTAACTCCATCAAATTATTTTAAGATGGTTCTTTTATATATATATATATATATATATATATATATATATATATATATATATATATATATATATATATCAAATTTCAAGAGTTTAGGCACTGGAAAAACATTTTTATGTTGGTTTGGGTAACTTAAAAAAAAAAAAAAAAAAGCATTGATAGGTAATTGAACATCATGAAAGACATTGATACGTAATTAAAACCTAAGGAAATGATATTGATACAATCAAAATGTCAGAGGGTAAAAATGGATTCTCCCCAAACTCCAGAGGGATGATATTCAACTGATATATAAATTTATTGCATGATCCCCCAAGTTATAAAAACTATTAAATCAACCCCTCTACTTAAATTTTTTGGACATTGATCCTCGCTTTCAATTCATAGTCACACTTGGTCCCTTTATGAAACTCATATTAAATTAAATGTATATGACACATATTGCCCTATGTAGGTATGTAATTGGATGAAAGTATCATGTGTTATCAAAAAATTGAAGTGTGTGAAGGTGAATGAATATACCTGAAGTTGAAGTAAAAGGTTTAGTTTGATCAATTTTCAGAAGTTTGAGGACTACATGATGAATACACCTTTGGATTCAGAGTGGTTAAAGTACACTGCACCACATCAAGTACCAAACGGACCATAAATTTAATTATGTTATAATTGCAATAATCAATTGTTTGACAGAAAAGGAAAAGATGTCATTAAGGAAGATATTTTAGCAATTACTTTCTCCACAACACTTCAAACAAAAGTACGTAAACACATTATGAAGGTAAATTAACCTATTTAAAAGAAGAGATTTCACCATACTATAAGACTTCAGAATTAATCTTTTCGCAGTACATCTTTTAAGAAATATATAATTTGCAAATTTTCATATGAAAAATCACACATTGTATAACTCAAAACTAGTTGGACTTCATGTTAAAAAAGAAAAAAAAAATCTATAATTCTTTGTTTTTCGGTAGACTGCCATATTCGATAATTTCGTTGACCATCATATGTATTTTGAAGTAACTTAATAGATAATAAAAGTAAGTGATTATTAATTATAAGGATAATTAAAAGGATCTAACCACTCATGAACTTTAAATCATTTGAGATTGAGTCTTAAAATTTTTTATATTAATTTTGGAGATTTTTAAATTTTTAATTTTTTGAAATGTAGTCCATTCAATAATTTTCAATTATCATCTTCACCTCTAAAAAAAAAAAAATCAATTTTTGATATTTTGAGTTGAAATTTTGTACATACATTGAAAAAAAATTCAATCAATTTTGTAAAAAAAAATCTAGAATTTTTCAAAATCAAAAACAATATATTTTTTATTTTTCGAACATGAAAAATATAAAAAAATAAGGATAAATATAAAATAACTCTGAAATAGTCTCACAATTTTTTAGAAACCCACATAAATTTTACAAAATAATTTTCATTATAAAACTATTTATATGATTGTTATTTTTTGAGATAAATGACAAAAAACTATATAAAAAAAAAAAGCTAAATCTAAAAAAAGTTAAAAGTTTAGGAATTCCTAAAACCGATAAATAAATAAAAATCAGAGGACTCAAATTCGAATAACTCAAAGTTCAGAAATTTTCAGACTCTTTTACCCTTGTTATAAAAGTTAATTAATTGTTAAAAGAAAACGAAAACATATTATAAGTTGGGGTGATGGAATACGACCAAGCACCATGATTGGATACCATCTTTAGTTGTGGAAGTTAAAGTACATGAGGGAGGCCTGGTCTCTCATTAATTATAATAAAGAAATAAAGAAGTAGCTACTAGCTATTAAGATCAGAGCAATGGTGGGTATCCTGTAAGAGATTTGGGGCATGAGCTGTGAAAGAAAAGGAGAGTCAGCAAAGGGATAATGTCAGAACATGTGAATTGTTTGCACGCTCTATGCTTTCTTTCCTTTGCCCCCAAACCATACCCACATGTAGGGTACTGTGTCCTTTCTATTTCTATATTATAACAGCTTCTACGCACCTTCCCATGTATCCCCCATCAAACTAGAATTTTTATATATATTAATTCTCAAGTTTATGGGATGCACTAATCATTATTAGACAGAGATGTTTTAGGGTTTTTTTTTTTTTTAAATCTAAAGAAAAAGTGCACTGTGACCTGCAATTAAGCAATCTTCATGCAGGTGTCTACTAATTATAAAAAGGGCATGTGATCATGACCTCCCTCCCTCCCTCCCTCCTTCCCTCTCTGATCTCTCATCTGTGAATAAGTAAACTTCGAGATTGAATCGACTATGGTCATTAAAGTATAGCAACAATGTTACAAGAAAGCAGGCATAATTGTAATGCATAAATAAACAATAGGCAACAACTTGCTTATAGATTCAAGACTTTTATGCTTTCATGCTTAACTTGATTGATAAATGAGTTTACTTTTTACGTTATTTTCTACGATTCCAGATATATATATTACAAATGCATTTATTTTTATATGGGTGATCTGAACAATATGATTTCAGTGAGAGAAAAACTGATACGAAAATAAACTTATAGTGAAAAAAAGAAACATAACTTGTTCACCGACGCCAATGGGACAGTCCAGATCCAGTAACCAAAGTTAGAATTTCTAACGTAGAGGTTTGTTTCATGTACAAAAAATGGATTGCTTGAAAAGAAATATAGGAATAGTTAGAATAACCTCCCAAGTGTTGTGGGCCTTGCAAGTTGGAAAGAAACCAAAAATTAATAGCCTTCACGTCTCACAGATGCATATGGCATGATTCCACAAGTTCCTCGCAAGTTCTACAAGACATCTGAAAAGCTCAAAACTTTTAAACAACTCCAACCAGTACTTTCAGCTTGAAGATGGTAACCCTTGAGATGTTTGGCTCCTAAGGTAAGTGAGCTTTCTCCTTCCGTGCAGAATGTCAGAAAGAAACATTCTAGTACGAACTGCCTGAAACTGACTAGAGTATACCTTAACTGTTTTCCAAAAAAAAAGACCCTTACTTCGAAGATGGCAAATTTGTCCAACTTCTAGCATATACAAGGCCAGAAAGAGTGGAAGACAGGAAGCAAAATCCTTCCCTCAGCCTCTCCTATGTCACTTCAATAGTGCTTTTTTAATTGTTCACTAAACAACTGTGGATTTCTTATCCCTACCCTCTTTTTCTATATTCCGTGCCTCAACAATTCCAGGATTTTTATCAGCCGATTTTTCACCTCTATAGAATTTTATTGTCAAAACAATAAGATTGAACTGAGTTGATCAAAACGGTTATGATTTGGTCACTTCAAGTTATCTAACCATCACGGTTATATTGGAAGAAGCGTATAAACAAGAGGCTAAAGATTAGGGCAAAAGTTTCATTTCGCCTCTCAGTCCTCTAATTCCTTTATTAGTTGACTAGTTAAATATCTACGCTACGTTATGATAAAACAACCATTATATACATAAGATTAATTATTCGTATGGTATAATACGAATAGATGTTTTGTTTTTAAAGATAAATATAAATCAAATCTGCATATTTAACGAACTTGTTCGATATATATATATATATAAACAAAATAATTTATATAAAAAATTGTATTTGAATAATTAAGAGATTCTTTCAAAATATTAATTAAATTATTTCATTTAAAAATATAGATTTCAAAACATGAAAAAAAGAAATAACAAATAATTAATCTTATATGTGCGGATATAATTAATTTCTAACAACACTATATATACAAGTCGCACTTAGAAGACTCCGAGTATATAAAATAAATAAATAATATATAAAAAAAAAAGCCTACTTAAATTACATGAACTATATCAAAGTGAATAGATTTAAATAAAAACTACTATAAAATTGGTTTCAATAAATTTTGATTATATATATATAATCAAATAAAACCTTAAATTTTTTTTAACTAATTATTAATTTTTTAAAAAAATTAAATCAAATTATCTAAAACACACTTTTAACTCTCTTTCTCTCTCTCTCTCTCTCACTCTCATCCAAACTTATATATGGAACAACACCATTTTCGTTAAAAAATCATAAAAATAATCAATCGTATAAATTATAATAATATATTTTAAAAAATAAAACAATTATGTTCTAAAATTTTATTTCAAAAACCATATATAAAAAAATCAAATTTATTAACAAATAAAATTATATAAAATTTAAAAATTAATTCGATGAGAATTTTAATAAGAAACAAAAAATTAAATAATAAATTTTAAATAATAAAAATAATATAATCAAATATATATTAAATTTTTTAAAAATATCATATATATTATATTACTATCAAACTGTACGTAAAACTAACAAAAAAAATAACGATCTTTTTTTATATTTTCACATCTAATTTCATGATAAACAAATATAAAAATAAATTATTTATATAAAAGGGGAATAATTGCCATATGAGAATATAAAAAAACTAAAAACCAATAAAAAAAATAAAAGAGGAATGTTACAATGAAGGTCAGCCGTAAAAAAAATAAAATAATAAAAATAATAAAATAAAATACTGCTATAGTGCTACAGTGAAGGAAAGCTCCATCAGCCCAGCCTTTAAAAAAAAAAAAAAAAAAAAAAAGATACTGCTACAGCAAATGAACAGTGCCACCCCAGCTCTTTTAGTTTGTTTTTTTTTTTTTTTTTTTTTTTTTAAGCTACTACACTTTTCGTTGGCACTGTAATGCAATTTTCAAGAGCATCTTTCGCATGATTATCAAAATATCCGAGCCTGTCACATGCTATGCACATAAAAGCATGGTTAGATGCATAATTGATGCATACGCAAAGCCAGGTTCTTATCATGTGGCAGACTCGATAGAGTGATGTCTCAAAGAGAAAATGGACTGCTCAATCCTACCAGGAACCTACATTTAGTAAAATGTAACTGAGAGATGGCCGTAACTTGTTTCACCATCAAAGATGGGAATCAATTACAGAAGTTGGTCAAAGAAAAACCCTTACATATTCATATCACATTCAACACCATATGTGACAGTGACACATCCTCATTTCCATTCTCCACAGCAACAACAAGATCAAACTCTACCGACATACACGGAAGTAGAACAAAAACTATGAGTTCTATAGCCATTACCTTCCGTGTCTATGTTTACAAATCATTCCTCAATGAAAAGATGAAACTCACAAATTTTCAACGTTCCAACAAAACCAGATATAGATTTGAGTTGTAACTCTTTAATGTTTACTAAAAGATTGGATGTTCGTCGCTTAAGTATCCTTCTAAGACCCTATGCCTCAGGATCTTGGCTAGATAATAGCTTTCAAGACCTTTTTCTTAGTTTTCTAAGGTTTCATTTAGATAGTGGCAGATCTGGTTGTATCTGCACTTCCCATTCTGTGTCAAACACTACAGATACCAGCTCTACAAGTTCAGGTGCATGTAAGGCTACAAGGACAAGGCTACACCTGAACAAACAATAGTCTACCCTGCACGCTATGTAACCAGTGGGGCAATGAAACTGAAAAAGACTTCCAAAAAAATTGGGAAGTACAAAAAACATGAGTGGAATTCAGAACAAAAGCGCAACTGAAATACTTTGACAAAATTATCAACTGGCATGAATGATAAACTTCATTGCATTGCCAATCTGCATAATAATAACATGTATGTCACACTCTACAACTTCATTTATAAGACCCTATTCTCTATCAGCATCTTAAGCTAGCCATGAAGGCACCAATAATGTTGAGGAACTATGGCTTGATTCTAATAGGTTTGTGCATTCTATGGATACCTTCAATGGTATCGTCTGACAACAAAGTGACCCCAATTTATGACCCTGGGAGTATAGAGCAGAAGTTTGAAGACTGGCTAGCCCGATATGGCCGAGAATATGAGACAAGAGACGAATGGTCACTTCGTTTTGGAATATACCAATCTAATGTCCAGTTCATTGACTACATCAATTCTCAAAACTTATCCTTCAAGCTCACTGACAACAAATTTGCAGACCTAACAAATGAAGAGTTCAAATTTACCTACCTGGGTTTTCAGAGTACTAGACATACAACTAAAAAAATAGACTACGAGTGTGAAAATAGCACAGTGTTGCCAGCTGCTGTAGATTGGAGGAAGAAAGGCGCTGTTACTCCTATTAAGGATCAAGGTCAATGTGGTACGAGCTCTTCTCATTCTAGTTCATTTAATTGTTAATTGTCAGTTCTTATTTCAAAGCATTTTCCATAGGAGCAACTAATGCTATTTTCTTTCCAACACAGGAAGTTGTTGGGCATTCTCTGCAGTTGTAGCTGTGGAAGGCATCAACAAAGTCAAGACAGGAAAATTAGTATCTCTGTCAGAACAAGAGCTTGTGGACTGTGATGTTACGAGTGATACCCAGGGCTGCAATGGCGGAGACATGGCAAAAGCATTTGAATACATAAAAAAGATTGGTGGAATCACAACCGAAAATGACTATCCTTACAAAGGAAAAGATGCCACCTGTCAGAAAAAAAAAACTAAGGACCATGCAGTGAAAATAAGTGGTTATAAAGCAGTACCTGCCAATGATGAGAATAGCCTACAAGCTGCAGTTGCCAAGCAACCTGTCTCTGTTGCAATTGATGCTAGTGGTTTTGAATTTCAATTCTATTCCAGTGGCATCTTCAGCAGCTCCTGTGGAAACCAACTCAACCATGGAGTGGCAGCAGTTGGTTATGGCGAGTCTGGTGGTAGAAAATACTGGCTTGTGAAAAACTCATGGGGCAGAGACTGGGGCGAATCTGGCTACATAAGGATGATACGTGGTTCTGGAAATAAGAAAGGTATCTGTGGCATTGCCATGGAGGCCAGCTATCCAGTCATGAAGTAGGTGGTACTTTAACTGTATCAGCTCAAACTGTAGCATGATAGATGTTAGCTTAACAAGATGCTTCATGATGCTGTTTACATGTGTAATTCAAGTAAAAGATGTTATTGGAAAGTTGAACTTAATAATAATTGAGATTTACTGGAAGCGTACTATGGAAAATGTGTGACAAAAGCATAAGAAGTGAGCAACAACAATGCCATATATGAAAGTGTGATGACAAAATGATCATTAAGGGATAATAAGTTCTTGACGCAGAGTTATTGTTTCTAACTTGATTTCCTCAACTTTTATTCCATCTGTCCAAGCAATCTGAACGTTCTACTGTCAGCTTTCTCCATGATTTAAAGAAAAGGAAAAAAAAAAAAAAAGGACTTGCGTTTTGGAAAATTGACAGTATATCTTGTTTATGGGCTGGATGTTTGTCAATATAGAAATATGAATGAGGATAGTGAATCTTGAGATAACTTGAGGTTCATATGTTTGATTAAAGAAACTAAATTATACAGTAACACGTGCGCCTGAGCATTGCTCTCAAAAGTTGTTACAGCAACAACTTTTATGCATATCTTCCTTTATATCGGCAGAGCTTAGATTTTCTTCTTCTTTTTTGTACCAGTGAAATTGAATAACTAAGATCCATTACATCCCATCTCATGTCCTTCCAGTTTAAGCAAATGCACAGGACCAAAATTTTAATTTTAGACTGATGCTAATTAAAATTGAAGGGTCAATCAACAAAAGCTTCGTGATAGTTCAAATTTCAGACCAAGTATGATATCAAGCTAAAGAAGATGATACAAACCTAATAACCTAAATTTATGCTGAAGTCACATAACCTCGTTTGGGTGCCTTTCAAAAACAGTGTGGAAAAGACGCAGGATGAAGAAACTATAAACTGATGCATAGTTTTATTTTATTTTATTTTAGAGATTATTGGTTCTGAGTGGCATTTAATCAAACAAAAAAGGTGGATAATTAAAATAATTGCCTTGAGCTGCAGCTTGGAGCTCTATAATGCATGAAATAATGCAAAATAAACAACACTGTTACAATGCTTTAAATAGCAAGTCTACTTATTAGTCCACTGATAGAAGGTTTCGGGCATTACCCTCCTAAACAATCTCCACTACTAACCAATGGATACATGTGGCACATTGAAGCATACCTTAGCAATAATATCAACAATGAGGGAACCCTTATTCTGTAAGAGTAAAGGAACATGAACAAACTCCAATACCTACCAGGCTACCACTAGTGATTTGGAACAGAGAAGAACTGAAATAAAGGGGAACACCGTACAATTGCTCATTTCAAATTCAGCTATAAATAGAGAAGCTAATTATGTGAGTTTAGCATTATTCAGTCAGCAGAATTTTGAATTGCAACAAATTGAACACTTCTTAACTACCAAAAATTCATTCTCTATATTTATACTACCAAGCAAATTTGCATGATTCATCAAGAAATATGAAATAATGCTTCCACATGTATGTAGCAACTTCAGAAAATACCAAATTATGCATTGTTAAACGCACCATTGAGTTTCAACTCCAACACCCTCTTGTCCGCTTTGTGAGAGAATGACCTCCATGGATTAGTCATCAAAAGAAGATAAAATTTTGGTGCAGCTAACAAAATGACAAATTGAAATCCATATGAGCCATCACAGAGTATGCACAAGTTCAGTTCTCATAAAAAGACTCAGTATCACATACCAAGAAAAGAAACTAAGAACTTAATTCGGCAAATCTTTGTCTCACAGTACAAGCAAGCTTGCATTCACCAGCATCAATCAGCCCCTCAACCACCTTTTGCCTCACCTTGATATAAGGTATAAACCCTTTCTCTGTCATTCTCGTCACAATTTTGACAGCCAAAATAAAATCTTTACACTCCAAACATCCCTCAACTAACGACTCATAACCCTCAAACCCCACACCATACTCCTCCTTCTCCAAGAACTCAACCATCTCACCCGCTTTCCTCATCTCTCTATTCGCCCTCAACGCAGCCAATACTTTCACCACTACTCCCTGCCTAGGACTCAACCTCATTTTCACTACCATTTCCTTAACCATCTCAATTGCATCATCGCACTTTCTAACTCTACACATTGCACCAATAACAATCCCATAACTTTCCAAATCAGGAAAACAACCCACTTTTCCCATATCCTTCAAGACTTTCACTGCCTCGATCAACTGATCAACATTACACAAAGACAACATAATATAATTACACAAACCACAATCAGGATTATACCCAATAGACTTCATTTCCATTAGAATGCCACCAACTGACTGACCATCACGCCGGCGATCAAGCCAAGCAGAAGAGAGAGAAACATGTGTTTGAGGCACAGGTAAGCACCCAGAACGAAGAGTACATTGGATTATAGAAAGAGAAAGAGGAAAAAGATCCGAACTTTGAAGGGTGTATGAGAGAAGAGAGCTATAAACTATAGAGTTTCGAAACCGGGGTCTAATGGGGATCAAAGATTGGATGATTTCATCGATGACTTGGGTCCTAAGATTAAAAGGGAATGTAGAGAGGAACGAAAAAGGACTTGGGTTGTTGTTAGATTGTTTAAAGGAGTTGAAAAGGTCAGGGATTTGTGTGTAGGATTTGGATTCAATGGTTGCTTTGAGGGTTTCTTCAAGTGGTGTTTGTGAGGTAGAGAGTGTACGAAACTGAAGGAGAAATTTTCTGTAAGGAAGAAGGGATTTGATCAGCTTTGTTGCAATATTTTCCATCTGCAAATGAATGAAAATAATGATTCAAACTGGTATAAAATAAGATTTCGAAATGGGAACATTATCAAACAGGTTATGGGCATGAAAGGGAAGCAGGGGAACAGGTCGAGTTTTTTAGCTGGCCAAACATCACCATAGGTCCCTCTATGATAGACATTTGATCAAATAAATCCCTGAAGAAATATTTGGTTAAATCGCCTATTGAAATTGAGATTACAACTATTAACACAAACCATCATTTGTATTCAATTTTTATTTTTTTATCACTAGTAAGTTTTTATAAAAAGATATATATAAATATTAAATAGGCATATGAATACTTCCCGGCATAAAAAAAAAAAAAAAAAAAAGAACAAAAGAACATAGTTATTTTCGTAAAAGACATTTACTATTTTTGGAAATGAGATTGTGTAAGGTTTTTTGTGAAAAAAAAAATTAACAACACAAAAAATCTAATAATCAAAGATGAGATTGCTCAATTTTCAAATTTAAGCTTAATTGAAAACATATATTTAGTTTGAGAACTGATATGTAGTTTTCCATAAATTTAAACTCCTCGTGGGCCCAACCCATGAAAACACAAGCTACCAAGCAAAAGAATGCCCAACCCAGTCTCTCATAGTTGATTCTACAGCCTCCCTGATCCCTCTCCAGCAAAACCGCAGAACTGCCAAAGACAACAGCAGAGCAGCCATGTCCTCGGAGCTTGAAGAACTAGTGGGCTTTCTAACCTCTCCTTCCCCACCAGTAAGTTTCTCTGTGCTCTTTTCTTACCATTCTTTCCTGGGTTTTTTTTTGCTTTGATGTAAATTAATTTAGTGGAATGATAATATTTACAGGTGAAGAAAGCAGCCGTTGAAATTGTTCGAGACTTAACGGGATCCGAGGATGGGTTATTGTCTCTTTCCAAGTATGCCAGTACTGTGCTTCCTTCATTGTCTCAGCTACTTAAAGAAAAAAAGGTTGCTAATATCAATTATCATTTACAAATTACGAAAAAAGTTGTATAATTTAATAATTTTCTTGAATGTTAACTTTGCTGTTAATGATCCTGTCGGATTGGCCTAGTGGTTATTGGTTAAGGACTTACTTGAGTTGTGGGGTTTGGCCGCACGTTTTGAGTTTCATGTATAGTGCTGTTAGGTTCAAACATTTCCCAAGTTGGAAGATCCTGAGTGCAGTTGCGGAATTGGGACTGCATTCATCCCTGCGCTCTCAATCATGGCTGGCCTCGCATGTGCGGGGATTGCACAGATGATGGCATGACTGCACTTAGAAAAGTCTTGCATTAGTATGGTTATTGTAGGTTTGGGTTTATTTATCGGCCTAAGGAAAGAAGAATATTTGGGTTAATGAAATTTTATCTAATATTTTTCAGGAGGTTTCCGAACCTGCAGCAGAAGCTCTTATAAATCTTTCACTCAACTCGAATTTAGCTGCAAAGATGGTTGAGACGGGGGTGATTAAAACAGCAATGGATATGTTGTATAAACCAGATAGTAGCATTACGCGGTTGTTGGTAATGCTACTAGTTAACCTTACTCAATTGGATTCTGGTATTGCTTCCTTGCTTCAGGTACTTTTAGGCAATATATTTTAAATTGTATTCCTTGATATTGAAAATTAATGGTTCTCATAATGTATCTTCATTACACTTTCTGGAGGTATGAGCGTAATGGTTTTGTCACCCATGATTTACCATATCAAAAATAGTAACAAGAAATGGTTGTAATGTCACTTGCATTTTAGATTGAAGATGAGAAGATGCAAGGACTGTTCGTTATGAAGCTGGTGAGATCATTTTGTAGATCCTCAGACGAAACCAGAGGTTTGGTTTGCTTCTTATCTACTTAAGTTTATTATGGTTGAGATTATGTATCTAAATTTAAAATCATATATTCATATGTTTCTGATTCGTCAAATTGAGTTCTACCAATACATCTAATTGATGCATACCAGACTTAAAAATGGAGAGCGAAGTTTTTGACCATCAAAAGCTCACCTGCTAGCTTCATAAAAATAACTTAAAGGCAGCCTGAGAGTGCTATATAAAAATAGAAGAGAAAAACAAGAGCTATTTGCCAATGCTCCCTTTATGACTGAGTTAAAGCCACCTCATGTTTGAGGTTATTCCACCCTGAAGTTCAAACATTTTCTTGGCTTTTAGGAATCATTAATTTGATTCTTCTTTTTTTAGCCTATCCATCTACTCTGGCTTCATATCTTTTATATTATGTTTCCTTTTTGTATGCTACAATGTTATTTTTGGCACGTAATGCCAAGCATATCTGTGGTTTCATATCGTTTATATTATTTATACTTTTTTGTATGCTAAGATTGTTTTTTGGCACTTAATGCCATGTGTGTGGCAGATGATCCATTTGATCATGTTGGTTCAATTCTTGTGAACATTTCAAAGAAAGAAGCTGGAAGGAAGATGTTACTAGACTCTAAGAGAGGGTTACTGAAGCAGATTCTCCAACAATTTGATTCAACAAATCCGTTACGGAAGAAAGGGGTATGCATAAATTATTAATTCGAAAAACAAAGGTTTCTTCTACAGTACTCTTCGACATTTTAGTTATCTGTTTGCTTTGTTGTTTCATGAGTAGTGGCTATTTATACAAGACAGATCTAGGGAATGAATTTTGCAAGCAATTTCTGAGATGCAGATGTCGTGGTCCCAGTCCTCCATGGCTTTGTGCTTCTAATGACGATGAATTGCCCTAAATTTGAATTCTATCTGGCCAAAGTTTTCTATGAATTTGTTCAAGTGACTTTGTAGCGACTTGGTATATGTCTCTGTGAATTCATGTGCTCTTTGGGAACCATATTTAGAAGAAAATGCCACATAGCCCCTCATTTTCTTTAGATATTTATCAACCTTCTCTTCTTTTGGCTTAAATATTTCCCTTTTTATTTTTTTTTCAAGAACCTCTGCATCGAGATGTGTTAGCCCATGGTTTCTATTAAAACAGATAAAGATTGCTTTCAAAATTCCTTTCTTCCATCGCCGATCCTCTTTTTATTGTTGTTCTCTGTTGCTGCTGCCACTTCTATTGATGAGTTTAGGATGCAAGAAAAAATAAGGATGTGTTTGAGATTGGTAATACTTAAAGCACTTAAATTCAAGTTCCAATAGAAGTATTTTTTTTGGGAACCATACCTGTTGCCTTCCTCTTTCAGGATGACCTTGAACAACCGAACGCTGCCAAGATAAATAGAGTCAAACTTTATTGCTTAGTGGGATTATTTTTGCTTACAGGTTTCAGGAACACTCCGCAACTGTTGTTTTGAAGCTGAGAATCAACTTCAGAATTTGCTTTTGATATCTGAGTTTCTTTGGCCAGCTCTGCTTCTTCCTGTTGCTGGTAAAAAGGTATGTATGTAACCTCTCTCTTGATCTTTTATAGCATTTTCACTCATTTTTCACTTAATGCCAAGCATATCTGTGGTTTCATATCTTTGCCTATATTGATCGCATCTTCCCTGTTTCTTGTTTTAATGTATTGAAAAAGCTCATGAACTCCTTTTTCATTAATCTGGTTTGTCTTCCCAGATATATAGTGAACAAGACACATCAAAAATGCCTCTTGAGCTTGGTAGTGCACTCTCCATTGAGCGCGAACAGTGGGATGATCCTGAAATACGTGTTGAAGCATTGGAATCTATTTACTTGATCATAGTACAGGTAAAATTACAGGCATTCCTTTTTTCCTTTTTCTGACAGGTAATGTGTAGTTAAAATAATGAGCAAGAAGACTTTGAGTAGCTCAAAAATTGCAAAAACAAATTATGGCCGTCTTGCATTAGACCTACTGAACAGCTGGCTTTAGATTTAAACAACTTTTCAATTAGTTATCTGGCCACACAGTTGTAAACAAACTTGGCATGACTTGATTATTTGTTTGCTTCTAAGTCAATATTTTTTTTGGTAAATTACCAAGACTGCCCGTGAGGTACCCCTGAGGCATAGTAACCATCCAAGTTATATAAAAACTCCTCTGTGAGTGTTCAGTTAAAATTTAAATATTTAATAAGTTAATGTATTAAAATGTGTGTGTGTGTGTGTGTTTTCCTAATCTGAGAAATTGGTTTTGGGTGCCTTATATCATGTTCTTATCGGCTGAGTTCTCGCTCATCCTTCCATAACGTTGCAGGAGGCAGGTCTAAGAGCCTTTTGGTCTGTGAATGGACCACGTATATTACAAGTCGGGTACGAAGATGAGGAAGATCCTAAAGTAATGGAAGCATATGAACGAGTTGGCTCGTTGGTACGTCAATTCTTGTTAGTGCTTTTTTCACTGCAGTGTTTTCTTCTATTTGTATGTTTCGCACCTTATTCTGACTATTCATTTTACAGCTTGTTCATGGCAGTGGGGCAGAGGAACCCTCCAGTGAGACATCAAAATGATAGTTCGTTTATGTATGATCCAAATCAAACTGATTGTTTCTGCCATCTGCCAGAGGACTGGAAAATGTTACTGTTAAATTCATTGAACTCAAGCCATTTTTGGTGTTGTGGTGTCCAGGATAATACACTTGTAGTCTGTTAGAGAACAGTTCTAGGGTTTCTTAATGTATGATAAACCAGAAATTAAAAAAAAAAAAGAAGAAGAAGAAGAAGAAGAAGAAGCATTGCTCAATTTTGACTTTTACACAGGAATCCTCTGTATAATGGTGTTTTTAGAAACTGTGGTATTTGTGGTTTGCTTCCTTTTTTTTTCCCCCTAAACTAGAATGTCAACATCATCTTGCGTAATAATATTATATCAATTTATTTTGTTCACTCAGAGACTCGTGATGTGTGGAGGTGAGGACGAGATATCTGGTCACCGTTTATTAGCTCATAGTGACCATCTAGTGCAGATTTTTTCTTTCTTTCTTTTTTAATATATATATATATATATATATATTTTTTTTTTTTTTTTTTTTTTTTTTGGGTTTCGTTCCTGCCGAGGAAACTACTCCAACATACCAGCATTTCATGTCTCATCAAGGACTCAGAATTAATAAAATTGTTTTATGGTAGCGAAATGGCATCTTTCAGGAGCAATCACTTCGTGGCAGATAAAAGGAAAAAAAAAGGTGGAGCAAAAAATGTCGAATCGCAACTGAAGCTTTTAACAAGAGCCAAGCGTAAGCCCGAAAACCCAGCTTGCCTCTGCTCTCATTCTGAGATGATGTATGTTACAAAACAGGAAAATCTTGAAGAGCATTAATTTACAAGTCATTTCATTAACCAAAGCAAGCATTCAGGGAGGAATATGAAACTGAGGCAAGAAAACATAGTAACCAGAAGTAGAAATATGCCCTGGCAGAGGAATATCTTGCATGGGTAAAACATAACTCGAAGCAGTATTTGCAAATGTAACATTCCCTCAATCACAGTAAGCTCTATAGTGCGGCTATGTATTGTCTGACCTTTTAAACTCTATCAGTTAAAGTATATGCCACTCGTTAGCTTGCTCGAAACACCCTGTTACTTCCTCAGCAACATAGGCTCTTGTACATTTAGTATAATTGATACATCAACCTCCATATCATGTTCAAATCCTCTCAAGCTTGGCTGATGAATGTCTTGTATAAAGAAACTAGGCAAAGGCTGGTCTTGCACTAACAACTTGAACAAATCTATGGAACCTGCAATTGTTGATATAGGAACAAAAATAAATGGATAAACCATGATATGGGGATTTAGAATTTTCAGGTACCAAGCAGAACTAAAATTGCAGAAGACAGGAACTTTACCAGAGAGATTGGAGAGAGCTGGTGATTTTCTTCAATGGTAACGCCTTCTTTTGGACTTGATCCGCCAATTAAATACTCTGTAAATCACTACACAGCCAAGGATAACTACCTGTAGGATGATTATCACCTTCAATCCTGGAAAGAAAAAGTGCAAGCACATTTATTACATTATTCTCGCTACACTTCAATATAATTTGTGTTCGAGTGTGTATCATGGCTGAGTATACCTTTAGCCTTCTGGAATAATTCCTCCAAAATAACTCCCTTACTCGATTCTTTCATATCAATACGTGAGATATAATTTCCAGCCTTGTACTCCAAATTTCCACCCATGATGCAGGTGTTGGGACAATTGATGCCACTACCATATTCATCACTTCCGTCACAACAATCTACAGATTAATAATTTGATATTTGCAGACATGAGTGAAAATCTAAGCTCCATTTAACTAGATGAAAAGGTTAACTTCATTTAGCCTATGAAAATGAGTAGAGATGAGCAACTTAGCAGTACTACTCTATGTTGATAGCTTGAACGAAAGCCAGACCATTGGATCCAAACCAGTTATTAGTAAAAAAGAACAAAAAAAGGAATTGAAGAAAGGTTCCAACACCATGAGAGTCATACCATCACATTCCATAACTCTAGTTGATCCTTTAGTAGACCATGAAAAGTTGATGAAGTTCTAGTAACAAGCTCCAAATGCAGAAAATGGCACAATCATAATGCTAAGTGCATTTACAACCATCAAAAGAAGAAATTCACAAGGGTGAAGCTAGAATGCCTTCATCACAAATAAACACAAGATGCTTAAATTATTAACATGGGATGAAAATATCTGGCATAGAAGCCTTAAGTAAAAATCTGGCTTGAGAAGGGAAGGGAAAGAAAGCAGTTCCACTCCTTTTCTTACCGCAAATTTGATCATTTACACGGGATGAGAAAATAAACTTAGGTGTACTTCCCACATTCCCGCAATAAAATTTTCCTCTTGGGCAGGCTGAAGTTCCTGCAAACAAATCAAAATCACAACCAAAACGACTTAGTGAGATGTAACAAGCATGGAATGCCAAGACAATATAACCCATAATCATTTAACAAAACTCGGTGGCTCATGCATTATAAAAATGGCAGAAAAAGGGAAGGAAGAGTCACTCGTTCAATTGGTGCAGTCCGTATAATCATCTATAAAAGTGAGATAACAAAGATATTGCCCTGAGAAAATTGTCAAACTTCACTGCCCGATATCAAAAAGCACACATCATTAAAATAGTCACAAGAAATGAAGAACAAAAAACAAAAACATAACTGAATACTCCTGACCTATAAATGGAACTTACAAGGCAAGACTTCAGTGGTCGCAAACTCAGAAGGTACAATTCACAAGCAAGACAACACATCATGAATCTACTTAAAGAATGACTTGATGTTTGAACAGATAGGAATTCACAGTTATCAATTAAAAAATCTCTCTTTCCCGATTAACTAGCTCACTCTTTTGTCAAAAGAGTTTATTAAGGACACATCTTTCCTACAACACTTCAGCTTCAACTTAAATATGCCATAGTTTCATCAACAATGAAGCATTCAATGCCAGCAACAAACTCAGTGGACATGTATCAAATTTGTAAAACTTATGTCTTAAATTCCCAACGTAAATATCCAAATATGAACAGAAAACGAAGATTTTAGACCCATCAGCTAAAGGATCAAACTTTACCATTCTACAAGCATATGCCACACTACCATGCTAACAAAATATGATCATATTTACACAAACTTCATGTATCAATTATGATACATCAAGTCAAACCCCATACCAAATCCAATCCTTTCAACCAAATTTGTCAGTACAAACGCAGAAATTATAGCGCATATGGAACACAAAATAGTAGACTAATACCAGGCTCATCAGTCCCATCAAGACAATCACAGAAATTGTCATTAAGACGGTCTTTACTGAATGACTTTGAACCATCCTTGCACTTTATCACGTGAGAAGCAAAGTACTTTTCATCTGCACAAGTCACAAATCATCAAACTTATTCTAAACAGCAACAAAAAATCAAAGCTTTATTTGAAATTAGCAATAAAACGAAGGTCTAAGATCTGGGTTTTGAAGAGAAACACAAAAGTATATATATATATATAGCGAGAGGGAGAGAAAGGGAGAGAGAGATGCCTAAAGGGTGGATGCCCAGTAGAGGTGAAAGAGAGTGAACAGATGAGGGTGCAAGCAAATACAAGGAGATGATAAAAGGAATCAAGTTGTTGGCATTAGCACCGTAGTGGGTTGTCTCCATGATTCTTTGGGTGATTTTGAAGTTCAATTGGGTTGCATTACACAACATACCATTTTCTTAGAACATTGTTGGTCCTCTTTCTCTAGTTTTTTATGAAGTCCTTGGCAAACACATGACATCGTTGAGTCAAGCTTTCATCTTTTCTTTTTGTCTTTTGAAATATTATTTTTTGTTTAAGATTTCATTGGTATTATTTATTTATTTATTTTTATTGGATACGTAAAGATAGAAAATCAAAATTTAAAAATAAAACCAAAAAAAAAAAATTAAATGATGAAGATCGTAAATCTTGTTTAGGAGAGAATTTCCACCCTATCTTTTCCTCTATGGGTTATTAAGAAATCCAAAAACTCTCTAAACCCAAAAATAACAATAAAAAGGAGAAATAGAGTAATTTCATGTTTTTTTGCGAAATTTCTCTTTTTCATTGTTATTTTTGGGTTAATGTGCTTTAAGGTTTCTAAATAACCCCAAAAAAAGAGCAAAATTTCCTCCTAAAACACAATTTACGACTTCATTATTTAAGTTTTCCTTCTTTTTTTTTTTTTTTGAAAAAAATTATTACGAGTTTCCTTTTTTTTTCAATTTATGAATATTGAGTTTATTTAATGGACACATCAACAATCATTTAACAAGTTCTGATGGATACATTTAATTGAAAAAAAAATTGAAAATATAGGAAATCAAATAGAAAAAATAGAAATAAAATACTTGATTAGAAAATTTGAATAACTAGAGGTACCAAATTTTTCATTACATCCTTAAATTTTGGCATGATAACTTTATTAGTTGCTAACTAAAATCACTTGACATATGTTTATCATTTAACTTGTTTAGTTGCTCATCAAAATCATTTGCTGTGTGTTTATCAGTTTTATAATATCTTATCAACTTGATATATATATATATATATATATAAGGGAAAGAGAATATTGTGTTTTCTCCTCCCCACTTCTTTTTTTTTTTTTTTTTTTCAAAAATGGGAATTTAATTTTGTAAGGTGATACAGTGGAAAGGTATGTTTGTCTAGTCCAACAATAATAATATCTGCATCTCATCTCTGATTGCCTATTTCTGGTGTGTTTGTGCTTCATTTATTTTTTATATTTGTGTCACGGTAATCTGCAGTACTGTCAATGTGTTTGTGAGATAAATTTGATGAGATTGCTATTTTTTTTTTTTTTTTTTTGGTGAATGACTTTCGTTTTATGAAGGAAAGTTGATGATCCAATTCAGATTTCTGTACGTAGTCATTACTTTGGTTCCTCTTTTTAACCATTACCATTAATTTGAGAACAAAATCAAAGATATAATGTGATGTTGAATCACTTTCTTATTCTAAGTAATAACATTAATACTAATGTATGTATATATTCAGCTTGCATTTTGGAAATATAGTGTTTAACATGATTAAATTTCAACATGTCAATCTAAGATGTTATATTGAACGGAAAAAATTCTAATCGTTTTAAATAAATACTATTTTTTATTTTGAATTCTTGTATATTTAGAAAACTTTTTGGATAATTGTATTCGTCTTGTGCGTCCAAGCGAATAGTGAAGAATTAATCAATTAGTCGGGACCTTTGGGCTTGAGATATTCTGGAGATCTAAAAAAAAAATTCAACATATCAAGCTTACATCAATATGTATTTTTCAAGCTATTGCCATCATGATCAATGCATCTTCAACATTTTTTAAAGCTTGCAATGGCATACATCATGATTCATCTTCAACATTTTTTACCATCATGATTTTGTTTCAGAAATTTCAAATTTTTGAGCTTTTTCAGTCTTAACTCCTGTGTCATTCCAATTTCTATATATAATTTCCATTAGCCACTAACCTTAGTTCTCTTGTGTTTTAGTAAATTGCTCTTGTGGTTATAGCAAATTTTATGGGAGCTGATTCATCCTTAAGTCTGCGTTTTAGCTTGCATTCCAATTTTCATTAGCCCTTGATTAGTTTGGTTTGTTTTTTTCATAATCGCTATACTAGGTGCGTTTTCTCCTTGTGATCACTCATAATTCTCAAAGACTTCGGAAAAAAATAAGAACAAAATCTAGTTTTGATGTTTCAGATCTTTCATTAATAGAAGAATTAATCACGTTTATTAACACTGGAAAGATCTAATTAAATGCATGTTCTGAATTCCTATTTTATATACATATATTTTTTTTTCTTAGATAAATCAAAGATTAGAAGAAGGAGATCAACAAAAATGAGGAAATCTGCCCTCAAACAAGATAGCCGGTCCAAGGTTAACCATGATCCTTATGTTCTGCCCAAGATGTCCAAGATTAGCTAGGAGGAACTATGGTCCACCTTCTTCTCCCATGAAGAGTACTGTGTTGTCCATTGCTGGACCAAATTGGCCTAAAACAAAACACAGATATATAATGTCCCATTAGTAATAAACCAACTAAAACTCCAATTTTATTGGAGAACAAACTTTTGTGACCAAAAAAAAAAACACTAATTTATTATTTAATTCACATGCTTTGTCCATATCCATGAATCATTCTCCATAATTTCTTCTTTTTTTTTAATGAAATCCCAAAACTATGATATACATAGTATTTAGTATTTACTTTGAACAGTTAATAGAATACAATTTTGACTCTCTTTTTTGTTAATATTATATTAATTTAAAAAGTTAACAATATAAGTTGTGAAAATAGTTATACTCTAGCTCTTAATGTTAAATTTACTACTCAAAATTTTAAATTAATTAAAAATTATTACAAAAGATGGATAAAATTGTAGTTTATCAACTTTGAAAATTCAAAAATTGGACCTTAACAAAGTTTCAATCATGTAGCAGAATTTCCTTTTATTTCCAAAGTTTGAATTACTTGTGAGAAAACTAGTGCTCAGTTGCATTCATGGGTTATAAGAATTTGAACCATATTTTTTCTAATAGTGCTTTTGCTGAAGTTCTGTCATGAAACCTTGTTCTCAATTCTACTTACAATTGTAACCTGTAGGAATCAAAATGTTACTAATTTTTTTATTTGCAACAGTTAGCTCAAAAAGTAAAGCACTAATGAATTCAACAAACGCATCAGAATTCCCTCACACTGGCTCTAGAGTAACATGTGCATCAACCGCAAATACATGCTTCCTCAGGAAAATACTAGCTCACAATAATTATACAGGCTACCAAATTAATGATCATGCATAAACAATAGATTTTTGCTCATATATATATATATATATATATATATATCTGTGTGTGTGTGCATGTATGCCTTTATACGCATGTAATAGATAGATAGTTACCGGGAAGGTAGTATTGGTGACGCAGCGGCGGCGGTGGCTGGGTTGGAAGAAGGAGAAGAGAGCTAGCATCTCTTTCTTGATTTGATTTATCTGGATTTTGAACATATTCCCAACGATACTTATGTGGGATTGAATCAAAAATCAAATTTGAATTATCCTGACAATAATTTACCATGTTATTATTTACGAACCCTCCTCCAATGTTGTTCCCTCTATTATTTATCCCATTAGTGCCATTCCAGGCAACCATCTGCTTGTTATACACTACAACCCCTTGCTGCTGCCCTAATTGGTTTTGGTGGTTCAGATTTTGATTTGTCAATGGCTGCTGCTGCATTTTTAACAAGTCAAGCTCTTCCTTAATTTTCTTGTACTTTCCATAACAACCTAATACTGGATCGTCTTGCCTACAAGCAGCCTCCCAAACCAACGAATCCGCCGTCTCTTTTCGTCTCTCTTCATTGACCTCTTTCACAATTTTAACTACGTTGCTAACCCCAAAAACCTTATGAACAGCTTGAAATTCTTGCGTTCTCTCTGCTGGAAAATATGGTGCCAATACGCAATCCTCCATGCACCTCTTCCGTTGATGCTTGCAAGATGCACATGCCTGATGCACCGCGATGCGATTGTTATTGTTGATGTTACCTCTTTGCATCCTTAAAAGCCAGGCTCGTCTATATCAAGAAATTACGCAAAAACAATAGCAATTGCAATTATTAACTAGTACTAAAACAAGTATAATTTTTGTTCATGAAGTTAACATATAGCATCAAAGAATGAAGAAATTCAACCAATATATACATACCCTATTGTACTAATTAATTAATATAAATAAGGAAGGAAATCAAGTAATGATATTACAAACCTAACCGTCTTTTTTGGTGTGAAGTTCAAAGAAAGTAATATTACAAACCTAACAGTCTTTTTTTGGTGTGAAATTCAAAGAAGATGTTTTTAACAATGAAGAACAAATGCTAGTTTCACATGAAAGATGGCTGGCCAGAGAGATATGTTGATTAGGGTTTAAGACGTTGTTGATCAGGGTTTAAGTAGCTAATCCGAAGAATATATAAAAACTATAAGTAAATACTAAACCTGTGGCAGAGGTAGTTTTATAATAGGAAATAAATCTACGCCCATATTAGTTGCTTATTTAAGAAATCTAGATATTCAAGGCAAGTACATTAATATTTAGTGAGGCAATATTGGATTATATTTCATAAGAAATTCATTATAGAAAAAAAAAATTGTTGTACCAAAACATTTTCAATATTGCTTAACAATGCCACGTGGCAAGACCCTATTTGCCAATTAAACACTACCTTATCTCCTATCTTTCCAGCTCTGTTGACACAAAATATGATGCTTCTTCACAATATTTTTACTTTATACTTTTCGAATTTTTTTATTGAAATCCTTTTTTTTTTTTATCGAGACTCTTTTATATTCAAGATCTTTTATTTTAAATTATTTATTATAACATCATCAATTAATGATCAATATGTATCTTTTTAAAGTAAAATATTTGGAAGTGATATTATCGCTAATTGATAGTCTTATAAAAAAATATTTGAAATAATAAATTTTGAAAAGTAGAAAATGTCGATCAAGCCAAAATAAATAAATAAATAAAGGATCTCAATAAAAAAAAATTTAAAAAGACATGATCTAAATATGGAGAAAATCCATTAAAAAAAAATCTAATGATGCACATATTTTTGTTTTTAGAATATGATGGACATAATTTATGTTAAATGGTGAAGAAAATCGAAAAGTATAATACTAATTAGCAAAGGAAATCTAAAGGGCTGAGCAGTTGATTCTATGGTAACAATATTAGTTTCTTCCAAGATTCGAAATGCACTGTGAGACGTTGGTGTTTCATGAGCTCAGTTTCTGATCTGTTTTCATTTGATTTATACAAATTAAAAAGAAAAATGCTACCGATTATACCAATATAGGTAAGAATAAATACATAAGGTAATGGAAGATTTCATATATATCAGGAAAAAAAACGATATATCTTTTTTCTATGTATATTTACTGTGTTTAGTGTTTTTGTACTTTTTTTTTTCCCGTCTTTTGAGAAGAGAGTCCTTAGACTTCAATTAAAATAAAAACATCTTCTATTGTGCAGCTTAAAGTGTGTAATATTTTAGTCAATTGAGGCTGTGTTTGTTTGAGTAAAAAAAAGTTTGGGAAGTTTGTTTTTCTTATTTTTTAATGTTTGTTTCTCGATTAGGAAAAAAGTCAACGAAAAATGATAGAGTATTTTTGAAAAAATATTTTTTGAGTTAAAAAAAAGAAAAATATTTTTTTCATCACAAACTGTTTTGCTCTCGTGTTACTCATATATCTCTCAATATATGTTAATAATTTTTTTTGTCTTTCTCTTTTTTATTTAAAATATATCAAATTATTTTTAAATTATTTTTTATCAATTATTATTAATTATTTAGTTATTTTTCCTATATTTCTATTAACATTTGATTTTTCAATTTATAAATATATTAAATATTCTTAAAAATCATTTTTACAACTTAAAATTATTTTTATAATAAATATTTCAATAATTTATCTTTATATTTTTTTATCATTATCCCAAACACTACATAAACTACATTTAAATGATTGAAAATGATTATTACAAGACTGTAATCATTTGTGAAAAAATTTAAAACTAATTAATTCAATATATTATTTTTTTCAACACTATTTATTTACAACTAAATCAATAATTTGTGACTAATTTTAATCAGTTGTAAAATTTTATTGATAATTATAATCAATAAGTGGTTACAAATTATTCCAGCGTTAATCTTTTGAAACCAAATGAATTATGATCTACAAATGATAACTAAAAATTTGTCAAACTATATTTTAGATTAAATTATCGGTTAAAAAAAAATCTTAATTGAGTTATCAAAATAATAATGCTAGGATTGCTTAAGAAGTTTTTTTTACTAAATGTGAATATTGACTTAATTTTGTCCTAAGTAGTTTTGATAAATTGGTTTGATGGTTCAAAATATATATTTTATTTTTTGATTTTTTGAATTTAAATCTTAAAGCCGGTATTTATTAAAATTTATTAAATTTTTTTAAATGCATCATATATTGTGAAATTGTGAATATACTTTATAAAAGTTTTCTCAAAACTTGCTGATGTAACAATAACAACATGTTTTTGTATTTCGGTTTTACGTATCAAACAAACATTGACGTTAGAATATGTTTTCAGCTGTTTTTTTATGTAATTATCAAATGTCGGAAAATATTTTTGAAAAATAACTTTTTGAAAAATAGCTTTTTCAGAATTGATTTTCTTATTGAAAATTATTTTTTGCCAAACAAACGGAACTCGAGGCATTTGGAATGTTATCCTTTCGTGTTTTTTTTTTTTTATGCACAAACTAATTTGAAAATATTTTTACGATCAAATTAAAAAAAATCATAATAAGGATTATATTTATTGTAACTTATTTGTTTTCTGAAAGATAATTAATGATGATGATAGTTAGTAGTGTAATAGCATAATTAATCCATTTACAAAAACTTAGGTATCCTAGAACAAATTTTTACATCCAAAAGGTTCAGAAAAACTTGGACATATGTTACAACGCAAATTGGATTAGGAATTACAATTGAATTTTATTTTTTTTAAGGATATTAGTCGGATTGGATTTTTATTGTTATTATTGTAATGTCAGTTTCGTTAACTTTTTTTTTTTTAATGGGCAATGAGATCCTATTTTCTTTGGTTAATTACTTAATTAATTACTTTGCTTTGCAGTCCCATAAAAGCAATTTGGAGAAATTTTTACCACAAAAGCATCAGACAAAGTTTGAGTTAAACCTAAAATTTGTATGTAATGCCACCCCACAAGTCTTTGATCTGGGCATTAAAAGCAACCTGACATTTACAATGAACAAGGCTCCATTTTCTCATCACATACTTGCTAAATTCTAACTTAAATTTTGCCTTGTTCTTAGGGAGGATAGGAAAAAAAAAAAAAAGAGAGAGAGAAAAAAGAAAGAAATTAAATTGTTTGGTAGTACGTTATAAAGCTGTGTTGTAAATAACTTTTTTTTTTTATTTGAACTAAAAATAACTGTAAAATAATTACATTTATTATAATTAAGAATTTTATTAGCTAAAAAAGTTTAAATATCGTATTAATTTAATATATAATTAGTTTATAATTGAATTTATTTCAATTTAAAAGTTCTGTAAAAGTTAACTTATTTATATATTTCATGTAAAAAATACTATATGTAGCGAAGTCAAATCTTCATCCGTAATTATGAACATTATAATAAAAAATAAATACAGTTTGCTCTCAATAAAATTTATACTCCAATAATTATATTTAAGGATATAAAATTGAGAATGTGAAATTATATATTTACAATATTGCAATAAATATTTAGACAAATATGCATTATTAACAATTTAATAACTTGAAAAATTTCGAGGATTTTTTTATCTTTCTCAAAAAAGAAAAAGTCTTCCATTTATATAATAAAGTATTGCCCCATATTTTTTAAAAAATATAACCTAATATATATTGTAAGTGCAGTCTCTTGTTTAGACCAAGGTCTTCCCCACCCCTAAACGGGGAACAGGCAACAATCCAAGCAATAGAGATTTTTTTTTTTTTATCCTTTATAAAAGAACAAATGAAAAATTCGAAGCGTTGTTTTGGTAGTTAAGCAAATTAACTTCATTTCTTAACTTTCTGATATCAAACTTTGGGATCAATCTTGAAAAGAATTGTTAAATTCTTCTGAATATACCAAATCGATGTGAGGGAGTGATGAAAATATTTTTATCCTCAAATTAAAAAAAAAAAAAAGGACAAATGGACTGAAAATAAGAACTAATGCCAAAATTGTTTTATAAGATCCACGGAGAGCGAAATGGTCCAAATTTCTCTTAAATATTAATTTTTTGACAATTAATTAGTCTCTTAACTTTTAATTTCGAATTGAATTTTTTTTTTAACTATTTTTTATTTGAAATTAGAATCTTCTCTTAGGTTTTCAGAAATTTTACCAATAGAAATACACGTGAATTACATGTAATTGATTTTTTAAATTTCTCTATAGTTAAAAATATGCCAAAAGTTTTGGATGTTTTGTTTTTGTCTTTAAAACTCATTTCTTTTCTTCTAAAAGGTTATTTAAGTGTTCACTTCTTAACATTTAAAAGAAAAGAAAAAAATAATTTATAAGTTTTAACATATTTTTAACTGTTCAAAAGCTACACTTACACATTAGAAGTAATGAAAACTTAACATAAAGAATCAATTTACATAAAAATTACTAAAAAAGCTACAGTAAAACATGGTTTCACTATTTATTTTCACTATTTGAAATATTATTCACATACTCACAAATCACTATTCAAATACTCACAAATCACTATTCACACACTCACAAATCACTATTTCTTTCACTATTCATGCATTTTTTTAGCGCTTTGGTCCTTAATTTTTCTATTTTGTTTTTTTCAATTTTAAACTTTAATTGTATTGTGATTTTGTCCCATTTTATTTTATTGTTTTCTTTTAATTATTTTTATTATTTAAAATTTACTACTTTAATTTGTCATTTTTTTAATATTTTCATATGTTATTAATATTATGATCATATTATAATATTATTATTTTTCTATACTAAGCATTTGCTATTTATTTATTTATTTTTAAACTAATAATTAAAATAATGTTTTGGTTTAACCACTCAATGATTCAAATTAATACTGTTTTTTATTTTAATATTATTCATTTTTTTGTAAATAAATATATAAAAATTAAATTCATATTTTTTTCAAAAGCTAATATTCTCATCAACATTAAATAAAAAAATTATTTGTTCAATTCTATGTAAGATTTTAATAATTATTATTTATGTTTTTTTACACAATCTTATGATATACTAAAACTTTTTTAAAAAATTTATTTAATTTTCTTTTTAGTTAATAGTGCATGGATTAACAAGGATAAATCATTTTTCTAAAGGAAAAATTATGAAAAACACAAATTAGAAATAGTTAAATACAAATTTTTTTATTAAAAAATTATAAATAATTTTTTTCACCTTTGATTTCATATATTTTTCTAAACGATTTTATATATTTTATCCAACCCATAACATAGCGCAGGCAAAAAAATTAGTATGTAACTAAAGAAAGATTCAACTCAAAAATAAAAAATAAAAAATTAATTTTCGTACCATTTAACCTTAACGAAGTTCTATAATTAAAATATAGCATCTTTTCAACGGAAAGGCTATATATCTAATGGTGTGGTATCATCAGGACCGTCGATCAATCACTAATTTCAAATATCCTTGCTCAGAGAACATTCCCACCTGCTATTGACAACAGCGTTCAAAATTCAATCATTAGACATAATACAAAAAATCCAATTATATATATATATATATATATATATATATATATATATATTGACGTGGCTAATTTTCAGATTAGTTCATTCACAATCATATTGATATATTCAGATAAAAAAATGTTACTTTGATCTCTCGGTAAAATTCAACTAGAGATAGTATGTAACATACAAATCCATTTATGATCTATTTCAATAACTAAAGAGTAACAATATTCTGTTAAAATCGATTAGCCTAATTAAATTGAAATCAAAATATCAATTTGGTTAAAAAAAAAACTAAAACCGAATTAATTTCGGTCATTTAGTTTTGGTTTAGTTTTTAAATTTGGTTTTATTCAAAGCTGTATTTTTAGAACATATTTGAACTTTTAATTGTTATTTACATTTTATTAGTTCATTTTATGACATATTTGAATAATTGATGATTTATCACTATATATTTTAGATGTGAATTATATACTTATATTTAAATTTTATGTATTATTACGTGGTGTAGTTTTATGCTTTAAATATTTGTTATTTTTATTTGGGTTAGGAGAAGAACTACATATTCCATAACATAATTTTTTAAACCTATCTACATTATTTTATTTTTTCAAAAAAAATAAAAAATAAAATTGGTTTCTACTTATTGAACAACCGAATTTTAGATTTTATAAATAAAAAAACCGAATAAAAATTAAGTTCAAGTTATTATTATTGTTTTTTGGTGAATCATTTAACCAAAAATAAAAAATATTAAAAACCAAACATTCACCTCTATTAACAACAATGACCAAACAATGAAAAAAACATTTTGTTGTGAAAAATAAGAAAAACATTTTTGTTGTGATAAATTTCTCCACTAATTATTTGATTATTTGATGCTTGTATCACAATTTTTTTTTTTTTAATTATACCAAGCCAATGTTATTAGTTTATCAAAGTAAGCTTTTAGAGTACAATGCTAGTGACCATTCCATTTGTCCACTAATTATGGTGACAACCGCATAAAGTTGGCTCTCTCCCTTTTAGCTTCTGCTATATTGACCCTACCATGCATTGATTTCTCCAAGCAATTGAGCTCAAGTTGTCACATAAAATTGATGTACCAATCACTCAATCAAGTGATGAATTGTCACAAGATTGACATGGATAGCATGGAGATCTTCATGCCTCCATGGGTCAAAATGACCTGCTTTTTCACTCTTTGGGGTTTTGTATCTTACTCTAATTCTAACATTCATCATAATTATTTGTCTAACTAAGCAATGTGTGTATTTTTTTTTTTTTCATAGTATTCATGATTCAATACAACTACCTTCTCCAACACTTAACCAACTAACACTAGCACCAAACATTTCCTCTGTTAGTGTCTTTAGCCTCTGTCCTTCTCCTTAAAGAAACAGAAAGCCATTTGAGCAATCATAGTCAAGGCAAGGAAAGTCCAGCTAAAGTTGGGTTTACTGCTTAGTTGCTCAACCTTATTAAATCCCTACCTTACCCTCCCCTCCCCTCCATTCCTATTCAAATTTTGAACCCAACAAAACATACCCTTCTTAGCCTCTCATCAAAGTGTTTTTTGGATATCTGTGAAAGGAACAAGGTGAAAAAGAGGCATACTTCTTATACTCTCTTTACCTTCTTGTATGAATGGAATAAGCGGGTGAAGAAAACAAGGAGATCAAGTGGCTAGTTCAAGAAAATGAGCACAGCTAGGTTCATCAAGTGCGTCACTGTTGGGGATGGAGCTGTTGGCAAGACATGCATGCTCATCTCTTACACTAGCAACACCTTCCCTACCGTATGGATTTAACGTTATTATTATGTCTCAAAACCTTTTTTCTTTTTTTTCCTGTTGTAATAATACCCTTTTTGGTGCTGTTTTGATAGGATTATGTGCCTACAGTGTTTGACAACTTCAGTGCTAATGTGGTGGTTGATGGCAGCACAGTTAACCTTGGATTATGGGATACTGCAGGTTGGTTTGCAATTTGTTTTCTGGGGTTTCTTGTAGCTGCTATTGCATTTTTTCAAACAGAGGATAAGTGACTGCTAAACTATTTTGAAGATCCCTAAAAACAGGTAATATTAAAGTGTAGTTAATTTGTGTTTTCAGGGCAGGAGGATTATAACAGGCTGAGGCCTCTGAGTTATAGAGGTGCAGATGTGTTCTTGTTGGCCTTTTCTCTAATCAGCAAAGCTAGCTACGAGAACATTTCCAAGAAGGTTTCATTTACGATTGTCAATTCTGTTTTACACGTTTCGATGATCGAATTTGATTCATCTAAAACTTCTTTTCTATAATCAGCAAATCTGGTCTGATTTTGTTTTTCTTTTCTCATCAATTCTTGGCCCCAGTGGATTCCTGAACTAAGGCATTATGCCCCAACTGTACCGATTTTGCTTGTGGGAACCAAACTTGGTAAGATCAATTTTACTACCTCTCATGTTTTTTTGGTTTTTTCTTTTTAAGTTGGATTTAATGTCAGTAGGATGTAATGGACTGCAGATTTACGAAACGATAAGCAATATTTGATAGATCATCCTGGGGCTACACCAATCACAACTGCTCAGGCAAGTTGCCTTCAAGCTGATTTTCTTTCTTTTACACCAACTGAACAATATAAAAATTTCCCACATTTCATAAATGAAACCAGCAATTTTCACATTGAGCAGGGGGAGGAACTAAAGAAGATGATTGGTGCTGCTTTTTACATAGAGTGCAGCTCCAAGACTCAGCAGGTTAGCCCAACTGTTACAATTTCTTAGTTTACTTCATTCCTGTGAAAATCCACATGCTAGCCTTTTCTGGATATAGTACAAACAGCAGAAATTTCTCTAGCTAACATTTATATCTGAATTATGAAAAGAGCCAAACTCAAACTACATGATAATTGGTGGAAAGGCAGAGAACAGGTCTATTATCCAACAAGCAAAGATTCCCAGATCCCCTGTCTTAAATTTCCCTCTCTCTTCTCAGCCATGAATCTGGCCTTAAAATTCAGTTAGAAGTCGTTGTCCTACACTTACATCCCACCAGACTCAGTTACTTGTAATCAATGCCAGTTATTTGCTTTTCAGAACAGGACCAACAACCTTACATAGCTCATAGGGCAATGTTTCCAAATTTTAGCAACTAGCCTCTTATAGTAATTCTAATAATTGATGGCCTTTGAACTTCACTGTAGCTTAAACTTAATGTTGTATGTATGATTCCCAGAATGTGAAGGCTGTCTTTGATGCCGCAATTAAGGTTGTTTTACAGCCTCCGAAGCCGAAGAAAAGGAGACAGAAACGTAGGACGCCATGCGTGTTTCTCTAAATGAAACCAGTTTCTTCCATGTGAAATCTTCATGACTCTGCCAAGTCATGAGCCTGTATGACTTGGTAGAGTCATAATAGAATTTCTGTTTGCCAATCTCTCTGGCCTTCCTTTATTGCTTTCCTTGTAATGTAATATGTTCCTATGATTCAGAAGGATTATGAGGCAATTATATGTTGTACACTTCAAATATTATGTCTGTTATCATGTAAAATTTGTGCATCGTAACTCTTAAGATTATGACCTAACATGTGATTACCAAAACATGAATTTTTTTTTCTTTCCTGGATGGTAGATTTTAGAATGCATTGTTAAAAGGCACATATTGCAGGCATAAAGCTAGAATGTTATTAGAAGCAATTGATTTTAGAAATTAATGGTAGATATTAGGTGTATGTTTACCTAACTAATAGTGTAAATAAATCCACTTGTACCTATATAATAGATTGAATTTAATCTGTTTTTATATTTCTAATTGTATTTATTATGTTTTTAAATAATGTTAAATAGCTCATTTGTCATTCTGTTTAATTTTTCTCATCATGAATAAATTTTTTGATAAAAAAAAAAACATCTAAAATCACAAAACTTGCATGTAGTTAATTATATTTTTAGTTTACTAACTTGCCAATTTTTCCTAATGAAATGTGTGTTATTTAACCTTTATTATTTGAGTAGAATAAGTTGTAATTTTTTTATAATCAAGTATTTCTATTGACTTTCGTTAATTTTATGTTGACTACATACGTGACATCAATATGTGGGCCCATTGTCAATTTTTTTTCCATATAAACTTGTCATTTTTTTCTATTTAAGTGTACAAATTTTGATTTTTACTATTTGAGTGTATCAATTTGTAATTTTTTTTCTAATTGAATGATTATGCTAACTCTAGGCTAACATGTATGTTAACTGCACACATAAAATCATTATGTGAATCACTTATTAAGACACATGACAATTAGGAGGAAAAAAAAGAAGAACGATTCATTCTCATTTTCATATAGTAACAATAAAAGCAAATAAATTACATAATAACAATAAGATATTTATTACCTTTACATTAAATAATTAAAAAAACAAATTATTTAATAATTAAAAAAAAATTACTTAAATATTTTCGGATGCAACAAAATGACTGAAAATTAAAACGTAAAAGCTTAGTCGTGTTTATTTACCAAAACAACAATTTATTCTCATTCTCGGTAAAAAAAACTAAGAATAGTTGTTGTTTGGAAGATGATGATATGAAATTGAATTTTAATTTGAAGTGAAAAATGGCTTGAATTTGGTTTTGATAAGATGGATCGATTGGAAAAGTTTCTTGTTTAATTTTATATATTTATTGGTCAATTCATCCTTTTTTTTTGTAGTGATAATTTTTTTGACACAAATATTTGATAATAGGATTTATATCATGGTTCTACATGTGTAGCATAGTTAATGAACGCATTAATTTTGAATTAATGGAGAACCACTTAAATAGATAAAATTTCAAATTGGTTTACTCAAATAACAAAAATCAAAATTTACATACTTAAATAGAAAAAAATTTGATAAATTTTTACAAGAAAACTTACATGGGCCCCACATGTCAGTGCCATGTCTTGCAGCCAATGGCCAAGTCAGTATAAAATTAACGGAAACACTTGATTAGAAAAAAATTATAATCTGATCTAGTTAAATAGCAAAAATTAAATAATGGACACTTGATTAAAAAAATTGATAAGTTGGTAAATAAAAAATATAATTAACTTGGTCTGCATATTTCATTTGTGAAGTCTTTACATTTTTTTCTTTTGCATTGCAGTCAAGAGCATATCGGTAAAAAAATTGATTCATTGTTAAAAAAATTATCGAAATAACAAAGTGAAAGCTTAAATATTATTTGAGAGATGTAATAGAAACAATTAAAAAAAAAAGAATAAGAAGATAAAACGGTATCTCAAGCTATTTACCGATAAAATTGAACTATTTATCCATACTAATAAGAAGTACTTAAGTGATGATTAAAATGCACAAAAGAATAAGGCTATGTTGGGAGTGTTGGACACTACTGCAAATATTTGTACTCCAAAAATCCAAACATATTTGTCAACTAAAATTAATATTTTTTTGAGTTATTTTTTTTATTGATAAAATTAAAAAATTAATTGAGAGTGCAAGATTAAAATGAGAAAAAAATAAAATATCAGTATTAGTGAATAATTTAAATATTGATTAGTATAACAACACATCATGATTTAATAATAATTATTATTTTATCACAACAACATGTTTTAATTATAAATGAACTTGATTGAAATACAATAAGGGGCAAACAATAGATAATCAAACTATTAGACTATAATAAACATTCGGATAACTTTGGGACCTTGAATTCATTTTGTCATTTTTCTTTTGTCTCTATCTTCACAAAAAAATTAAAAAATAAAATAAATAAAATTTCAATATGGATTTTAAATGAAAGAAAATATATTCATCATAGTATGTTTTCTAATTTTAAATATCGCAGAAAAGAAATTCGCAGCGAAACCAAAAATAAAAAGCAACCGTACTCCAAAACCCACAAATGTCACAAAATCCTAACAAAAAAAATCTTCAAAGCAACTCTTAAACCCTACGTAGTACCACACCACGAAAAACCTCAAACACCGAAGACCTCACCAAAGCCTGTGTGTGTGTCTTGCCATTTTCTCTCTCTTTACTACTAAAACAAATGGTAGCTCCACTCCTCCGTTCTCTCTGGTCCAACACCAGAAAGCCCTTTTCATCACACGCCTCTTCTTATTTCCCACGCGCCTCCCTTACCCCTCGCTTCTTCTCCGCCGCCTCTGCTGCAGCCTCTGCCTCTACAGCACCAAATCCGTCCCTGGATCCAAGTAGACTAAGAAACGTTGCTGTCATAGCTCATGTAGATCATGGGAAGACAACATTAATGGATCGGTTGCTAAGGCAGTGTGGGGCTGATATACCTCATGAGAGAGCCATGGACTCTATTAGCCTTGAACGTGAGAGAGGGATCACTATATCCTCAAAGGTCACTTCTTTTTGTTTTGAATTGTTGCCCAATTCAATATTTTTGTCTAGTAACATTTTTATTTTCATAAAAATCTATTTTTAGAGATATGTTTCTTCAATGTTCATTTTGTCTGTGAAGTAAAATTTATGCAATTTGTTTAGTTTTATGCTTGTTGGGTATTTCTATTTTTTCACTGTCAGTGAAGTGGACTGTCAGTGAAGTGGAATTCTTTGTTGTATTAATGCTTTTATCTGATGAAGGAATTGTTGTTTGCAGGTTACATCAATTTCATGGAAGGAAAATGTGCTAAACATGGTTGATACACCTGGACATGCTGATTTTGGTGGTGAGGTATGCCTTCTTTTGGTGTTTAGGGCCTCAGGAGTTAAATACAGTAGAATTCCAGTCTAGTAGTTTAGGTGATTGTGCATTGTGTTGACTTAGAAGGATTGGTTTTATTTTAGAAGTCAGTTATGCTATTTTTCACGTGTCTTGTATTTTACAGATTCATAAGTTCTGATGATTATAGGTTGAGCGGGTTGTTGGGATGGTTGAAGGAGCAATTTTAGTTGTAGATGCGGGCGAAGGTCCACTTGCACAGACAAAATTTGTTCTTGCTAAAGCTTTGAAGTATGGGATACGTCCTATTCTACTTTTGAACAAAGTAGATCGACCTGCAGGTAAGATTCAGTGCTTTTTAAGACTTCACTTTATGAAAAGTTTATTGTTTTGCTGTTATGTGATCTTTCAATCAAGTAATGGGAATGCTTAAATAGAAAATTGGAAGCAATTTCCAAGTTTGAAGCTGCTTATCTATTGCTTACACACAGTGTTCTTCCTTTCTTGTTTTTCGTACAAAAGTTTCTAACTAGTAAACGGATTCTCCTGTTCTTGGTCCTCATTTGTGCAGTTTCTGAGGAAAGGTGCGATGAAGTTGAGAGCTTAGTCTTTGATCTGTTTGCAAATCTTGGAGCTACAGGTGAAAGAAATACGGGAAGCTGAAAACTTGATGATTTTTCACCATCTTGATTGATAAAATGGATAGAAATCTCAATTTAATAACTTCCTTTTGTTTTAGAGGAGCAGCTGGATTTTCCTGTTCTCTACGCTTCTGCCAAAGAAGGATGGGCATCCTCCTCCTTCACCAAAGATCCTCCTGCTGATTCAAAGAATATGGCACAATTGCTTGATGCTATCATAAGACATGTCCCCTCACCAAAAGCAAACCTTGATGCGCCGTTTCAGATGCTGGTTGGTGTTCATCACTAATGATGCATTAAAGTGAACACCTGAATGTGGCATGTCTATGTATGCTTGTGTGAACATGTGCATTCCTTATCTTGGCCTTGCCCTGCATGTATGTATCTATGTGCACGTGCGCTCGTGTGTGCATATTGTATCATAGGAATTTGTTCTTTTCCTCACTCTTTCTTCTCCAGTTCAAAGATTTAAACCTACATCCTGTCCCAACCATCATACACCATTAAGCATAGCCAAGAGACATAGTTGATGGTATTTCTCTATGTATTTTATGCAGGAAAAAAACAAAAAAAGAACAATTGGGGTTCTGAAAGTAGAGCAGATTTAGGATAGCCTTGATACCGAAATCTATGTTAGAATTTGGATGGCTTGGGGAAATCATACATGACTTGTTTATAAGTGAATAAAAGCAATTAGGGCTGTAGTTGCACGTGAAATAACTAGCTGAAAGCTGCAAGAAAAATGAAGAACAAGGAAAAAAAAAAAACAGAACAAAAAAGAAACAGATAGATAAACCTAGCATGACCCTAGGGTGTTAGGATTATTTGACATCTTTCCAAGGGACGAATGCACCATAGATATTTATATATACATTGTTTACATTACTATGCAGTAAAACCTGTTAGATAAGAATCTATGAGGTGTTAGGATTATTTGACATCTTTCCAAGGGACGAATGCACCATAGATATTTATATATACATTGTTTACATTACTATGCAGTAAAACCTGTTAGATAAGAATCTATGATACTTATCATTCCATACATGTGAAAAGAAAACGATCACATTGCCATTTTCCTCCAAACTCATTATATTGTTGTTTCCCCCTTGAGTATTTGGGTTTTCTTTTCATGTTCTCAGTTAATGGGTTAGATTTGCCTTTCAGGTTTCCATGATGGAAAAGGACTTTTATCTTGGAAGAATCTTAACTGGGCGTGTTTTTTCTGGCATCATTCATGTTGGAGACAGACTTCATGGACTACGTAGCACAGATTCTGGGGTTACAAAAATTGAAGAAGGGAAGGTTTGTATCTAATTTAAATGCTTTTGAAAAAAATGCCTAGTTCTTACCTAATTAGAAGTTAACTATGTTGATAGTTTGTGAAGCTTCATGCAGCAGCTATTTATTCCTTCAGTACAGCCTGTCATTGGTCAGAAAAAAAACTTCATTTCCTTTTAACTTAACAAAAAGTTTAAAATTCTTGCAAAGATTTTCTTGTCCATCCATTTCTGCTTCAATTCCCCCTGTTATTAAGTTTCAGCAACTCCAAGGGCTAGCATCTCTTATTTTTATTTCTCTTTTTTTCTTACTACCCAGTGACAAACGCGCTGGCATCATTAAGAAATTTTATTCATCCTCCTTGGGTTATTATAGCAGCATCTCCATTGAAAGCATGAAATCTGAGAAAGTAGTTATGCTGAAAAAATATACTCGACTGACATTGGTTAGAAACATAACGTTATTTAAATAGCTCACTTTGGATGCTTAATTCTTCAGATGCATTTTAATGTGATTAACAATTATGTGTAATATGCCATAACTTACTATAGCAATGCTATGATTATACTCTTTAGCAGCTGTGGTGATTTATAACTTATTCATCTCTTATCTTGTAGGTTACAAAGCTAATGAAAAAGAAGGGTACAAGCATGGTTCTGATTGATAGTGCTGGAGCTGGTGATATAATATCTATGGCTGGGATGGCAAGTCCATCAATAGGCCACACAGTAGCTAATCTAGAGGTATACTGCTAATTTGTTTGCACAGAGTCAGTGAAGTGTTTTGCCAGTGTTATGTTAACATTTCTGTTATTTAGAAATAACTGAAAATACCACCGTATTCTAGCACAGAATTCTCGATTCCCTACGTTCTCATGGCTGCATGTTAGCAGACTATTGTTTACTTCTTTTCTTTCAAATAGGATAAGCACCTACCTTGTATATGACAAATTGAAATGATTGCCAAGGTTTTCTTTCATTTGTACTATGGTTACAGTATTATTTACAACATCATGAGCCCCTTTGGGTCTCTCAAAGAAAACTCAAGTTTGTTTTATTCAATATTCAGCAATCACACTGAATATCTGGTTGGGTGTTTATTTATAGGCACCCAAACAAAAAATATAGGAAAACCTAGTGGAAAGCACAAAGTCGATATGGAAACTAAACTCCTATTTTAACTACTAAGTAATAAATACTAATATTTATTTGATAACCATCATATTGGCTTTTGTCTGCGTTTTAATGGCTTTTGTTACACCTGGATTTGCAATGTCATATAAATTTCTTCCCACCCTCTGAATTTAAGTGATTTCTCATATTTTTATCGAATTTGGTATGATGCATGGTCTGATCTGTTCTTTACTTGAAACCATGACAATATTTGATAAATACTACATTAATTAAAAGGCCAACAGCGGGATTTATTCTAAAGTAGTTATTATGGTATCTGCTAGGTTATGACTGCATTGCCAACTGTTGAGTTAGATCCTCCAACAATCTCTATGACTTTTGGGGTCAATGACTCTCCACTGGCTGGCCGAGATGGTACCCATGTAAGTCTTGCTTTTCTTTTCTGTCATTATGTGTAATGTGTGTTTGTATGTAATCAATATGTATGTATATTTTACATGCAAGGTGAAGATCCACACTTGAAAATGACTTCTTATATCTTATAATTAACTGTAGATTGCCTCCTTTGGATATTTCTTATATGAAATTTGCTGGATTTTAAATCCACACTAGAAAGTAGATTAACAAATCAATTTACTGTTTGCGAAGCACCCTTATTTGCTTCTCTTCTGACAAATAGGCAGTTAAAGATCTCTATGTTTTGGACTTTTTTCTGATAGGAGACTTGATTTTTGGATAAGTATTAAGGATTAACATCTCATGTAAATTCTAACAATTAAGACTTGTTGCATTTTTGTATCTTCTTCATTCTAACAGAGCTTTTTTCCATTATCCCCCTAAGGGAAAAATGCACATAAATTAGAACTAGTTAGTTGTCAGATTATGGAGTGATGTCAAGAAGAATATCCAAGAGGTTATCCCCTGCCTTTTCCTAACCTTTTCTATCTCTTTAGACATTTCTTGGAAGATAGTAGAAGAAATTTCATAATTTTACCAGGCATGGCTCTACAAGTGTGTCATCAATATGCTATCATAGTTTTCACCACAGAATTTTTTTAACACCTTACAAGATGTCACTTCAATTCCATATTGTTTTGCTTAACATCAAGGGCAAACATGATATTTATTTCTGTTTCAATATTAGCCACCATAAAAGAAGTAATTGTGTACTTCTGATGTTTTTTCAGCTGACTGGAGGGAAAATTGGTGATCGGTTAATGGCTGAAGCTGAAACTAATCTTGCCATAAATGTGCTTCCTGGCATGGCAGAGACGTATGAAGTTCAAGGAAGAGGAGAACTTCAACTTGGTTTGTTTCTTCTTGACACTACATATTGTTGCCCTATTTTATTTCATGTTAAACATTAAAAATCCACAGTACTAAGGTTTACAGTGACATTAGTTTCATTTTCCTGCATCTTCTTTTGATAACATGAAGTCTAACATCTGTTGAATGTTATTCTGAACTTAAGATGTTTGTGCTTTACAGGTATCTTGATTGAGAATATGAGACGTGAAGGATTTGAACTGTCTGTCTCACCCCCTAGAGTCATGTGAGTTGAATGTTGAACTATTGCAACCTAAATTCCATTGCTACTGTTGGGGGGGGGGGGATGTGATATAACTGGATGATGTCCCTTTTCTTATGTATTTTGGACAATGTGCTTTGTTGAATCAGGTATAAAACTGAGAAGAAGGAGAAGCTTGAACCTATTGAAGAAGTAACCATTGAAGTAAGAATTCAAAATGATCCTTGTACTGGTTTCTTTTCACAAGATTCGCGAGATTTTCACATATGATTTTATTTCAGGTAAATGAAGAGCATGTGGGGTTAGTAATGGAAGCTTTATCTCATAGACGAGCTGAGGTTCTCGATATGGGTCCTGTTGCTGGGCATGTTGGAAGGACTAGATTGTCCTTGACTTGTCCATCAAGGTCAGTGTATAATTTGTCTGCATGAGATCAGCTATTTTATTGGACACGTTATGTATGCATTTTTATTTTTATTTTTTTTACTTGTTCAACTTTTCTTCTGCACATTATGCATTTCATTGTAGTTATATATATGCATACATACAAACATGAGGTGACTTAGCTTCTAGTGCCCCTTGGAATTTGGATACATGTTTCTGCACTTTATTAATTTTGATTCAATGAGTTCATATTTTGCACTATTCGGTTCAAAATTTCCCATGCTTGAGTTTTATGTTGTGTGCTATATAACATTCTTACACAAATTCAACTATTAATTGCTTGAGCACATGACATGATTAGGCCAATCTTACAATTATGTTGCAAGTTAATCCTTTTGATATCATGGGCTCAGTTACTTGTTATATAACCTACTATTTGGAGTTATTGAGTTGTGTGCTAAATAACATTCTTACACAAATTCAACCATTGATTGCTTGAGCACATGACACGATTAGGCCAATCTTACAATTATGTTGCAAGTTAATCCATTTCATATCATGGGCTCAGGGACTTGTTATATAAGCTGCTATTTGGAGTTATTGAGTCCTTTATTCAACTATGAACCATATCCACCTCACTAACTGTACCACATCCATGTTTTTCTTTCATTGTGTTCCTCAGGGGCTTGGTTGGTTACAGGAGTGTGTTCAGCAGTGACACGCGTGGAAGTGGATTTATGCATCGTGCTTTCCTGAGTATGTTCTATTTGAGATTCTTTTTCCTTGTCTCTTTTTTCTTGGAAATTGTTTATCCTTACTCCTTAGTGTGATGTAATTGGATCCCTATTTGAGGTGGCAATTTTTTTTGCAATTGACTCCGTACCTGGATTATCTGTGCCTGCCTCCAATATATAGTCCACAAATTCTAGTTTGGAAGGTTTCCCTTATAATCATTGTCTATTCGCATGGCTGTCCAGCCATACAAATGTAGGGAAAAAATTTCATATCTTCCTAGAGCTAGGTTGGCTTGTTTTGGCAACATGCTGGGGCCTAGGATCTCACAGATCTCATCAATGCCGCAATTACACTAACTTTATAAGTTGTTTTTGATCCAGGAGAAATACTAATGATAGTCTAACACATGTAATACAAACATAATGTGGGTGCTACCATACATCTACTACACGCACTGATGTGATTCAGATTTGGCAGAACGTGCAACTGCCAACAGCCTTCCTGTTCATCCAAAACGTTTAAGATCTGATTCGAGCACAATTAAAAAGTTTCTCCCCTTTTGGCATTAATGATTGTGAGCACTGAAGAAAATTTCTGAGCACTAAATGCTTCATGTGCCTGCCGTAGTTTTTATTTTCTACATACCTCAATATTTGTTTAAGCTTTTTTTAATTCAATCTCTCCTCTCTCAATTGTATCGTCCTCATGCAGTTTATTTTACTAACTGCAGCCTATGCAAAACACCGGGGCCCACTTGGAAATGTTAGGAAGGGAGTCTTGGTATGTCTTCCTCATTCCCTTTTGTTTGTATTGTATTGTAGAACAGCCAGAACACTATTGCCATTTGGTACGGGATCTTTTTCTTTAATGTTTTATGATTCAAGTGAGGTTTTCTTCATTTTCTAAGATAGGGTATTATATGCAGTTGATTTGTATCCATGTGTGAATATGTATGTTTAATATTGGATGTGATGGTCATACATGTCCAAAATCAATTGGAGTCGTTACTCTCATCAGGCCTATCTGAGCATGGTCAACAGATTGGATAAGCTTGAAATGGCCAAGAAGGCTACTGTGCAAAAGAAAAAGAAGTGAAGCAGGGGTGTTCCTAAGGAGACTGCTCTGATGCTTAAGCTAGCATAGTGCTTAAGGGAAGTGCATGGAGAGAGATTAAGTTTGAACATAGAGATCCCCAGCTTTGTGGATGGAGCACTTTTATAGTGTTCGGGAACTTGCTAGCAACCTAGGTGGCAATCAATGACCTCCTTGTTGAATGAGCATTAGCAACCTTCTTGTTTGTGGGTATAAATTGGTGTTATTGGTCATTTGTGGCCTTTAATTGTCATTAGTGATGTGTAAATCTTGACAACTATGATACTTGAGTCCTAGTTTTAGGCATGAATGCTCTTGGACTTGTTACTCTTTATCTTCTAAATATCCTTGACATTGATTTTGCTTGTAGACCTTATTGGCCTTGGGCTTGTTTATGAGGATGGATTTATTGGCTCATCATTTAGCCCCAACTCCCTAGAATAATAATCCTGATAACTTGGTGGAGTAATTTCATTGAGTAGTCTTATATGACTTGCATATATCTTCTTTCTCCTCGTGCCTGGGATTGATCCATCACTTTCTTGAGCTTTCAATACTAGTGAAGAACCTCACCTAGGATCTGACAGTGTTGGCAGATACAAGTTCTAATTTCTGGGAAGGAAGAAATGGGAGGGAGAAATATCAATTTATATGTTGGAATATGTTTAATTGTCTTTCAGTATCACTATTAGTCTTTTGTTCCTATTAATCACGTGTTAGTAATTAGAGACCTAATTTTTGTATGTTTTATTGCTCTTGTTATTGAAGTAAGTAGTATGTGGTTTTTACTACTATTTTTTCTGCATTGGACCTCATTTTAATTTTGTTTTTGTGATTGAACAGGTGTCGATGGGTTATGGTACTATCACAGCCTATGCATTAATGAGTCTAGAACCCCGTGGAATACTCTTCGTTAGTCCTGGGATGGAGGTTGTTCTCTTACGAAAATGAAAATTCCTTCCTGTTTTTTTGTCTTCTGTAACTGTTGAATTTTTGTTTTTCTGCAACTGATAAAGAAATGGTTTACATTTTTCTCATGTTATCCTCATGGTAGACACGTACATAGAAAATTAATTCCTACCCAGCCTTATAAATTACTCATTTTAAGTCCTAATACATAATAACTATGCAGTACATCCTTGGAAAATTGGTGCACTTAAAAGATTTCATTAATAATAGATAGGATATCTCTTTCATGAACCATTTGTCATGCTATCGAGGCTCTATCATCTTGTAATTGCTTCAGGCACAAATGGGACTGACATGGAACTGACATGAGTTTTGTCTTAACCCAGTGTTTGGTGTGATGAAAAGTCTTTTATAGCATAATTCATTCACTGTACAGTTTTGGGCTGGTTGGTTAGCCTAAGACGATGAAAAAATGACAATTTACTGCTTAAAAGTTGTTTTCATAGGCAAATGTTTGTCTGCTTACTTCTGTTCTCTTTATTTTGCAGACATATGATGGCATGATTGTGGGAGAACATTCAAGGGATTCGGATCTTGATGTAAGAATGATTTATATCTCCCATGTTATGCATTGTCATTTATTGTTCAATGATACTGAAATTTTTCCCTTATGCAGGTCAACCCTGTTAGGGCCAAGGAACTTAGTAACATGCGTGCTGCTGGCAAGGATGAGAATGTGAAACTCTCTCCACCTCGCTTGGTATGCTATGGGCAAATGCTTGGCCTTTTATTTCTACTATTCACCCAATTGGGTGTTTCCTATCCTTCAGCCACTGTCACAGCACTCTGCCGTTATATTAGCAAAGATATCTCTTTCTTTCTTTTCATTTTTGTTTTTGAAAAAACAAATAGGAATCACAAAAGAATAGTTCAGACATCCAGGTTGTGAACAAAAGCCACATCCAAGAAAAGAAGCAAAGAAATGTTTGAAAACTTAAAAAATAAGAAAATAAAACCAGGAAGTGTCATGTAAAGGAGTAACTGTTCAAGTTTTCTTCACTCTTTCTCCTCGTACATGGGCTTTCATGCACTAACTGTAAATACAACTGGACAGTAGCAAAGGGATTTTACAAAAACAGAACACAAATAGTGTATCATTTTTGCAGAACCCTTCTTGGGATTTTAGGACCATATATATGTAAACCTACTTGAATGCTTTTTTCTTGTGTTTTACAGATAGAAGTTACATGCACTAATTAAAAAATGCATCTGGATAGGAGTGAAGATTTCGCTACGACAGAACACAAGATCATTTTTGTTGAACCTTCTCTAGAATTTTAGGACCATATCTGTGAAAACCTACTCAAATTCTTTTCTGATTGGTTTAACAGTTTCAGTATTAATTTTGACAGTACTTTGAAAGCGGTCTTGACACTTTCTATTAAGCTCTTGACCATGTAGGCAGCTTTTGGTATGCTATGAATTAGAACTCCCCAGATCTACACATGATTATTAACATCACACCGCAATTGTGTGCAGATGACGCTTGAAGAAGCCATTGGTTATGTAGCTTCTGATGAGCTTATTGAGGTATGTTTCTCTTAATATTCTCTTTTCCACTTTTGATTGAGAGGGGAAACTTTTTGCATATCTGATTGTTTTAGTTCTCAAATATCAGACCTCAGACTTACACTTAGTTTGCACATATAACTCGTATTTCTTAAGAAATGGTTCAGGACTTTGTATCCATTTTCCTATCGAATTCTGTTGCCGCAAGCTCCTTCATATGCTGTTTAGCTGCATATTTTGGGTCTTAAGTAACATTTTTCCATAACATATCTGATACAATCTTTGCCTGTGCAGGTCACACCTAAGGCCATCCGTTTGAGAAAAAGATACCTGGAAGTTAACAAGCGTAAAGCCATGAGTAAAAGGCCGAAGGAATGAAATCTATTTCTAACACAATTTTGTAACTTATACCCCATTGTTGAGTGTAACAGAGCAGGTACCTATTGTACTCATTCTTTTGTCTGCCTCAATACAGGTAATGTTAGAAAATACCAAAGAAAATATTCTGACAAATAAATAGTACAAGGGATCTTGGTTGTATTTTTGGTCAAGAAACAATAATGGAATGATAACTTCATCATCAATGGTATGTAATATTGCAAAAGATGCATTGTCCTTCATTTCCAATTACTGTAGACTCTCTGGCTTGTTATATTGCAAAAGATGCAGTGGTTTCAGTTCTCGCTAAATGTCTCTGGCACCTTCATGAGACCATCTTGTCCCCTCCCATCTCATCTATTCATCAAAGTCACACAAAGTAGGGGGGATGCAGAAGACAAGACTTCATCAAATCTCAGTTTCCAGCTAAATCCAGCTATACAAAGACCAACCTTTGAAATCATCCTTTTAATATTCCTTGTAGGGTTGCAAAAACATGAACGTTAGTTACATTTCCTTGTCTCTTTCTTGAAAGAGAAGGTTCCTGTGCAGCGGCTGCGACCGTTGTCAAAATGACAATTACAAACGTCCCCCATTGGTTTTCACATCAGAATTTCATCTGGAAGTGTAAACCCGAAGAAAAGTTGAAAATTGAACCGTTGAACATTGTTAAAAAAATATATAATTAAAAACCATAATGGAGACCACGATTGGAAATCATTTTACTAATGAAAGAAATTTTCAACCAAGGAAAACTAACGACCTTTCAATGTACGCTTTTTTATTACTTCGGGGATTAGATAATCCGTGTTTACATTGTTGATTGATTCTGCCCTTTTGTGCTATACCTTTTCAAATATCTAGAAGGCTAGTTGGGTCGATCAGAAATTTGCTCAAGAAATTATTAAAAAAACTTACCAGAAAAGCAAAATAAATAAAATGAATGAATGCATAGAAATTAGAAACAATTTAAAAAAAAACACTTTTTTTTAATTATAAGATTTTAAAATTTTTGAATTTCAAAAAAGTTTAAAAGTAAGGCAAGCCTCTGATGAAACGGGTTGTTTGTGAGAAATCAAATATAATGTGAACAAATTGATTTATCCCTTTCTCTTCCCTTTTTATGGATAGTTTTTTTTTTTTTTTTTTTTGGAGTATTATCATTAGAATGATTTTAAGATTCTCTTGCTATGAAATTATTTTATTTTAATATGTTATTCTCATCGATAAAAGAGTTTTAGTCTTGATTTATCATTCAAAATTTGTAATTAAGTAAATTTCATTTGTAGATATTTTAATATTTTAATAATATAGATAAAAATTGATCCAAAAATTTCAAGACCTAGTGATTTTAACTAGTTAATGAAACGTTTTCTATTTATTGTTAACTATGATGTTATGTTAACTTAGATAATGAGTCATCTGCAAGAAATATTTATTCTAATTATAGTAAAAAAAAAAATGAAAATTCAACCTTCGATATTTTTTAGTTAAAGCTTTGAATGTCTTTCCCATATCTAACCCCATTTTCTATACAAAACTCCCAAGTAGCTCCCTCCTTAGCCCTTCCCTCCCTCGAAGAAAAAGCAAAAGAATGTTCGACACTTCAAAATTCAAAAACTCTACCCAGATCCACATATAACCCCACAACACAAAAGACCAAACCTTTATTCCTCTCCATTTCATTTGCTTTGCCATATAAAAAAAAAAAAAACAAGAAAATCAGCTAAGCAAATGGGTGCTTACAGGGCTGATGATGACTATGATTATCTATACAAGGTAGTTTTAATAGGTGATTCTGGTGTTGGAAAATCCAATCTTTTATCAAGATTTACAAGAAATGAATTCAGTTTGGAATCCAAATCCACCATTGGTGTTGAATTTGCCACTCGTAGTATCCATGTTGATGATAAAGTTGTCAAGGCTCAGATTTGGGACACTGCTGGACAAGAAAGGTCTGATCTTTTATCTGTAAATCATGGATTTTTCTAAGATGGGTTTACTCTTGTTTTGTAAAATTTGCATTTGGGTCTATCAGATCTACATTCCCAAGTGTTTGATGCTATAAAGTTCTGTTCTGTTCTTTCTTTTTTGATTTGGGTTTTTGATTGTGTAAAGTTTTTTTTTTTTCCCCACATTGAAGCTGGGAAAGGGTGTTAGTAGATTGGCGTAATGTGCATTTTATTGGTTACTTGAGATTAAGTTCTTTATGATATGCTCTGGTTGTAGAGTAGTTAATGGCCTTCTTAATCTGTATTTTTTGGCATGAATGGAAAATGTATATTATGGCAAATAAGATCTACATGAGTTTCCCATGCAAAACATGTTTGGAGCTGAAATGACCTGAATTGGGCTATTCGGAGATTTAGACTTTGCTTGGGAAGGGATCGAAGGTTTGCACCTTTACACATTTGTGTTGATGTTTTGATGACAAATGGCTTTTTTGAGTTGCTTCTAGTTTTCAGTGTTGGATTTGTAAAAGACTGAAGTGAGAACAAGCAATATGATAGTCCAGAGTTTTTATCTGATCTCTGTTTTTTATTTTCTATCTTCGTTTTGCATCCACTCCAGGAGTTAAAAACATTATTTCGAGAGATGGAGTATGATCCTATCTATTCCTGTATGGGTTGTTGATACTAGTAGAAAGAAAAAGAAAGAATGGAAGAAAAATGTTTGCATTGTACTTTGATTAAGGTTTTACGTCATTGAGCAGAATGTCATAGCTTTCTGTGATCATTAGACCTTTTCTTTCACTAGTGTCTAGAATATAACCATGTTTTCTTTGGTTTCTTTTGTTGAACAAAAATACTTCCAATCATTATATCTTTTGTTGAACAAAATTATTTCCAATCATTATATCATGAGGCAGGCCGATTTTCATTGTATTTTTGTATTCATTGATACAGATACCGTGCAATTACCAGTGCATACTATCGAGGAGCCGTTGGTGCCTTGCTTGTCTACGATGTTACTCGACATGTCACATTTGAGAATGTGGAGAGATGGCTAAAGGAGCTTCGTGATCATACTGATTCCAACATTGTGATTATGCTTGTGGGAAACAAGGCAGATTTGCGTCATTTGCGTGCAGTTACAACTGAGGATGCCACTGCATTTGCCGAGAGAGAGAATACTTTTTTCATGGAGACCTCTGCTCTAGAGTCCTTGAATGTTGAAAACGCATTCACTGAAGTGCTCACTCAGATTTATCATGTAGTCAGCCGGAAGGCTCTTGATGTTGGGGATGACCCTGCAGCCTTGCCAAAGGGACAGACTATTAATGTTGGCAAAGATGATGTATCAGCTGTGAAAAAGGTTGGATGCTGCTCCGCATAGTCAGAATAGATGACGAAAGGAAGTATTGGTGGTAATAGTTTCTCCTATTTTATAATTTGCATTTTTGTTATTTGAAGTCGCCTTTCAGACAACATGAATGTTCAGATGGATAGTTGTAGTCCAGTTGCTTGCCTGGGGACTAGCAAACTTGTTGAAGTTGAGATAAAGCTTAGGGGTATGGATCCGAGAGGATTTTGCTTTTGATTGTCATTCCTTTTTCTTTTTTCCTTTTTCTGATTATTCTTTTGTAAGTTTGTTCCTTGGAGTGTTGTAATTTGTAGACAGTTTCCACCCTCTAGTTTAGATTCAATTTTATTGCTTGAAATTGCTCAACTTGATTGATTTATAAATTATTTTTTTCTTGATTTATTAGTTTACACCATTGACTTCGAACCCAACAAACATGTCACCAAGCTTGTCCTTGACATTTAGGAAATTGATTTTATTTGCTGGTGTTTAATGTATGGGCAGATAAGTTATTCTTTTAGCTTGCTATGCAGTGGTTACTGCCCAAAGAAAAGATCAGTGTTCTTTCATGATTTTGCTGGGTTGCTGTGATTACTTTCCTGGATATTAATTCAAGGATTGCTTGCGTTCTGGCAACAATCCATGACCTTTCAATGTCATATAAATTAGCAAACCAAAGCATGTAAACAGTTTTATTTGCTAGCTTGCGAAAATGATAGATTTTCCTGGGTTGTGGCTTATTGGTCACCGGCAATTTGCAGTACTTCATGCATCCTACGTAGCTTCTCTAAACAAGGTTTATGGCAGTGAATACCATAGAATTCGTAAATTTACCATAGGATGATAGGGATGATGATACCATTTGGAGTTGGAGGTGCATTTTGTCATGTAAAGGCTTCAAATTCCGAAACAGAAAAGTGGTACATCTTCCTTGATTTCGTATTTCATTATGAAAATCGAAGACAATTGTTTGCTACATCAGCCAAAAACCTAGTCTAGTTCCTCCAGGAAATGGAATCCTCTACCTGAAAAAAAGTGGGCTTCAGGCTGTTTTAAGTTCCTCTTAAGTAAATGGAATGCTCTACCTAATTAGCATTACCTGATCAATTGAGTTGGATACCAAATTGTTATGGAGCTTTCACAATCAAGATTCGAGATTCTTGTGCAATCCACTACCTAATTAGCATTACCTGATTCAAGATTGAGATTCAAGATTTCGAGGCTTAAAGTTTAGGCCCTCAATAAAATAAATTAAAAAAAATTATCTATTGCACAGAAACAAAGGGAATCTGAAATTCCTTCTCTGTTTCTATTGCACAATCATATAATCATTCAATTGCTGCAGATACATTTTCCATCTTTTTACAGTGACCATGAACTCTCCCTTCAACAGTCCGAAATGCAGACCTAATCTTTCTCCGTCTCCAAGTAAGAAGGCCTCAAGCTTTTTCCACTTTGTTCTGACAATATTAGCTTCCTCAAGGCATATATTCTCACTCTCTACAGCATAATCATCTCCAACTCTCATTCTTGCCATCTCCAAGAAAGTTGCGTAACTGTGAATCAGCTTGCTTACAAGGTGGTGTAAAACAAATTTCAGAAATACTAGCAAGTGTTTTAAAACATACTTGCAAGAACACTCTTCCTCTCCTTTTTCGCACTTATGTTTCTCATTGAGCAATTCGACAACAATTGCATCATAAAATTTAAGCTTGTCATTGTCTTGTAATTGCACACATATGATCCACGTACTGTTTTACCCTGAACAATCTTGCTGCACTCATTGTCTTGTAATTGCACACTACTCGCCCGAAATCTCTCCTTAAAATCCTTCACTTCTTCCATGGTCTTGAACTTGTCAACATGAGCTGTTTCCATGTAAACCTCTGAGAAGCTAGCGTAGTTCATCCCCATTACAAACCAAATCTACAAAGTATGCATCGTCATCTGGATGCCAATATTCCATGGTAATTCTGCCTATAAAAAACTTTATCTTCGATTGCTATTTCATGGAGAAAAAAAACCGTACGGGTTCTTGTAACGATGCAGAAAGTGAAAAATGAAGAGACTAGAAAATATAAAGAAGGAAAATTCTGTAAAGATGAAGGTATATATGCTTGTTGTAACAAGAAAATGATTGTTAGTAGGTATTGCTGTATTTTAAGGAAGATTTCTTACCTTATTTTTCTGTCATCTGTTTGATTTTAGTTACTCCACAGGAAACAGTTTATGATTGTTAATTAAGAATGGTAATATAAAGCTGAATTCTTGAATTTCGGATCTTATCAAGGAATAGACTTGCTGTAGAAGGAGGAGAAAGTAAAAGGGTATAGAGGTGGCAATATTTTATCATGCATGAATTGAAGTACTTTGGAAAACTTAAAGTGGAAATGAAGAGAAACTCACGTAAAAATGAAACATAGAAGTGCCATTTAATTGTGCGCCTTGCTTGTAACCATAGATCTTGCACATGAGTCACTGAGCTAAAAATCCACTATTATTACCAACAAGTTGTTTGTCAATGATAAACCAACTGGTTTTTAGACAAACTTTTTGAGAATGAGCGGAGTTCTAATATTAAAAATCGCATTTGTTGAGACAAACTTTTTGAGAATGAGCGGAGTTCTAATATTAAAAATCGCATTTGTTGAGAGAGTTTAAAATGTATTACTTCTGCTCTGATCAAGATTAGTTATATATCTAACGTAAAATAAAAATATTTAGATAAAATAAAAATAAAAAGAAAATTCACTACTATTATAATATCGAGCTTTCGGTGTTATACCATACCAATTTTAAGAGATTGGTCTGGTGGTTAAAAAAATTAGATTTACTCTATTATTTATTTTTTTATTCAAAAATTAAGGCTAATATCCAAGAAAATTTATTGAAAGTCTAGTTTCAACTGATGTAGAAGTTAGTCTGAAAATATCATTATTGTTGAACTAAAAAAGATATTATACGACACCAAATCTTGTCATGTGTGGGATTTTTTTTTTTAAATATATTGATATATTTAAATACAAGATTTGACCCTGATTATACTCAAAATTTGACCCTTAATTAATTATCAAATTATATTGAGATTATTTTAGCTCTATTTAATTTAAACATATAAGATTAATGTTAGTTTTAGTTAAAAAAAAATATTAACCCTCAAAGCTTTAGTAATGAGTAATATTGTTAAACTGTTTAAAGACTTTAGGTAACATTACTCTTCTTCTTATGAATTGCACATATGAAGTTATGCAAAAGAATCTTCATAAGATAAATAAAGTGTGTAAATAGTTAATATGTATCTAAAACTCATGACAACAAAGCATAATGTTATTTAAACAGTCATTATTATATACTTTGTTGATGAAAAAAACATGGATATCATTTTAAATAAGCTTATTATATCATAAAATCACGAGCTTTATATATTTTAATCATTTTAACACATTTTTTCAAAAATAAATAAAAAAATACATAAACTAAGTTTTCAGTAACTATATTAGGAAATAAGAACTTTTCTTGCTTAAATTTCTTTTTAAGCTAACATGGTATATGATAAAACATGACAGTATGACTAATTTTGCAACATAAGATTTCGCATAAGATCCATGTGGCCTATTAACTACCCAGTAAGAAACTACGTGTCAAACACTCCATTCCTAACCTAATTTAAAAATAATCTCCAAACTTAATTTAAAAAAAAAAAAAATACCCTATGAGAAAGAAAATCACCTTCTCTCCCAAAAATGTACTGCCGTCCACCTTTCCTTCACCGCCAGCTGTGTCCATCTTATCTCCTGTCAAAACCCATATTTTAATGATGAGACTCCAAACGGCCTGAGCTATGGAATAGCAGACTAAGTTATTTCTTAGCAATTATATTGAAAATCCATTTTTATAGACCGACCTCATTCTGAAGTTTGTCCTCAACAGCTATAGCACTAAGAAGAATCAAATCCCTCTCAATCTTTTCTGCTACTTCCTCAGTCATTTCCTCGCAATCTGAGCTTATTTGTTGAGCTATTCGCCTCAGTAAATTCACGATTGAACTCATCATATTCTTCCTCATCAAGTTCACGATATGCAAGAACCAAAGTCCTCAAGCCAACATCAGCATACTCCCCAATGTGCTCCTTGGTCTGCTCTTCAAAGTCTCTTCCATCTTTTGCAAGTCTTTCAAACATGACACTATTTACAAAAGAACACAAATAAATATATAAATGAAAGTACATAAACAACAAAAATTGAAATCACGACGTAACATAAAATTAGCCATACTGTTATCTCTCTACAGTCAACCAAGCCGATCAACACCCTTCATGCCATTCCCCTTCCCCACCAAAATCAAATCCACCATCAAAACTTCATCTCCGCCAACCTCCATGCCATCACCATCGTGTCTCAGCCCCGTTGGAGCCTCCATCATAAGTCACCATCCTCGCCAACAACCACTGCTCCCATCGTCGTCCACTCTCCAGCAGCCTCAAAACTTCCTTATAGCCATCGACCTTCTCACGACCAGCCACTTCAAGGAACAAAAATGTAAAAGATTAGGAATTTGTAGGATTTGATTAGAGTTTGTGTTTTGGGAATATTTTTTCTTTGAAATCAGAACTCAATTAAAAATCGAAGGACATGTCATCTGAATCCAAGGAGACCGATTTTAATTTTTAACCAAGTGTTATCATGTGTGGATTGTAAACTATAATGTTCGTAAAACTAATAAAGTTGACTGTAGTGACTGTGGTTATGATAGCAGTAACGATGATAGTGGTGGTGGTAGCGGTTACGATAATGATTGCGGTAATAGTAATGGTGATGATGGTGGTTGTGATAGTGGTGACGGTAATGATAATAGTAGTGATGGTTGTTGTTGTGATAGTGGTGGTAGTTATAGTGATAAAAGTAATTAATAAACAATAAATAAAAAATATATATTATTATTTAAAAAAATTCATTCTCATTCTTTGTTTTTATTCACACATCTTATGCGAATAACATTATGTGTAGATTTTCATTTTTATTCTCACTTTTCATTTTCATTCTCATTCTATTTCTTTTAACCAAACAATCTACAATGTGAAAATAAAACTTTCATTTTCATTTTCACTACTCTATTCTTGATTACTAAACAACACCTTAGAGAATAAGATATAAACAAAAAACAAAAAATAAAATTATAAATCGAACCTAAGATAGAGACTGAGAGTCATTCAAAGATAGTACATGTTGTTTTCATGATAAATGATTACATGATTAGTTATTTTCTATTTGAAAATATTTTCTCCATCAAATTCACCTAATAAACGATTATATAGTTAAATTTTTATAGTTAATTAGTTATTATGAAACGTTGAGTAAATTATAAATTCATTTCAAGAAATAAATTAATTTTTAATCTTTTTATTTTAAAAACTAATTATTTAATTTTTTTAAATAAATATTACTATCCTAGATAGTGGTTATTGAAACTAATTTGGTAATAAAAATAGCTTAAATACTTGAATTTCCCCGCTCATAATTAGTTATGTTATATTTTAATTACTTATCAAGGAACATCAAGCGATGTTTATTCAAACACATTTTGATAATGACAATAACTTAAATTCGATGAAATCCCATGTGAGATATAAAGCTAAAGTTTCATAGTTGATTTTTTAAAGAAGTATTATATTTATATTAAATTAATATAGAGATATTTTACATCAATGTTGAACCTATGAATTATTTTTATGATCGTTCTCATATATATATATATATATATATATATATATATATATATATATATATATATATATATATATGATACAACTACTTGTATATTTAATAATTTCTCAATATATACAGAATAAATCATAAATTAGCCCCTCTATTTTTTTATTTTTTATTTTTGAAACAAATCAAATAGTTCCTATGTTTTTAAATATAATCGTAATTTAATCCTTTTTTTTCAATTTATTTTGTTTTTTAATATGTAGAAAATAAAAAAGAAAAAAATGATGAAAAAATATTTTTACAATAAAATAATGTTAAATTAACTATGATAATTCAGGAAAGTGTTTATTAATTAGTTTTTCAAAAAAAAAAAAAAAGATTATATACAAAACTAAAGGGACTGATTTATAATTTACACATAAATACAAGGTTACCAACGGACCATGCCAGCACGCCTATATCTTACCTAATGGAAAGTTAAAAGCCGATGTGACATTGTAAACGGAAAGCATACCATAAAAGCTGACCGGAGGTTACAAAATCCAAATCCGAATAAAAGATAGGGACAGTTGAAGAGATCCAATGAGTGGATAAAATTCTTACCAGATCTCAATAAAGTACACTCATTCAACGGCTGCTGTGATTTTATCTTTTTTCTAACCTACGTTAGAGCCGTCACGTGTATTTCGTGTTTCAAGAAACGACAGAGTCAGAGGAGGACCGAGCGAAACGGACCCTCCTCCGATCTGTCACGGGCATTGCTCTACAGTTTGTGGTCCAACCACATCGCGAGTGTTGTTTTGGCCCATACACCTCTGCGCGTGAGATGGCAGGTTTTTTGCAATTTGGTTTTGGTTTTTTAATATCTTCAAATTTTTAGATAGAAAATTATATTTTTTAATATCTTCAAAATTTTGCATGATTTTTTTTTTGCAATTTTATGACATCTCTGAGAAGTTATTGAAATTTAGCCTAAATACTATGGATTCCTTGGCCACCTTACAAAAGAAATTAATCCCATATATAATCAAGTAAAACACTAAAAAAATTAGAGTTTCTACCGTTTATTTACTGTGTGGAAGAAGACAATTCGTTATATATATATATATATATATATATATATATATATATATATTATGTGTGCTTGGTCCCAGAGGCGTAAGCCTGCATCTGCAGGACTGTGACTTGAGCCTGTAAGCCTAGAGAGCAGGAAAGGCTTTGGTTTTTTTTTTTTTTTCCCAGCAATTTTTTTTATTGATTTTTTTGAAAATTTTATGAAAAAATATTTTTTTTCATATAGTCTTAAGATGAAAAAATAAGAATTTTTAAAATTTTTTATTTTTGATTTTTTTTAATTTTAAAATTTAAAATGATTTCTTCCATTTGTCATTTTTTCATGAAAACATTCAATTAATTTTTTAATTTATTTTTTATATAATTTTATTTTTTAAGAAACTATGATTGATTTCTTTATGTATGAATTTTTGAATAAAATTTTAGAATGTTATTTTTTTAAAATACATTAATATAATTTATTTGTTGGATGTTTTGAATAGAGCATCCAACACACACACATAATCTAAAGATTAGAACATATTGTTATTGGATATTTTAAAATTATTATTTTTTGACTAAAATAATTAAAATAATTTTTTAAAATGATGATCTAGTTATTGAAATATAGTTTTTAAGGCTATATATATTGATATATATATATATATCTATCAAAGCCTAGTGCTTTGTGGAGGTTGTATGTTTATTGTTTATTGTTATTATGTTTAGATTTTGTTAAAGAACTAAGGGTATAGACAATTGAGTTGGTGTGGTTGTAGTAAGTCCTTAAGGTTAGATAGTAAATCGGAGGAATCACCTTCATAACCTACGTATCCCATGTTCCAAACCATAATCTAGTTATGGACTCTATATTCCGTAGATTTATCTCCTTTACGAATTCTTCGCTTTTGAATCAAGAAAAATAATCAATAGTGCAGAGTATGTGATTGAAGATTTTGAAAAACAAATTGATGATTGGGCAATACTAAGATTCACAAAAATGAGATTTACAAAACTTCAAAATATAATCTTTTCAAAACTGATTTTACTATCAAAATCGAGGAGAGGGTATTCAGCTTCGAAACCCTTTGAGATGATTCACCTCCTCTCCTCAAAAACTCTTCAAAAACACAGAGATAAAAACTTCAAATACATTCATATAGGTTTGGTCCAAGTGGGGATTAAACCACTTACAAAAGAAGTATTGAATACCTCAATTCAGCGAGTCCTTAGAGACAATAAGTTTACCAATTTCCATGACTCTTTGTTAAACTCTATCGAGTTCGATCTATGCGATGAACCTATATCTTTTGATTGCTATCCAAATTTTACAGTTTCTCGAATGATAAAAACATTCCGGAGTCTTTGGTGCTCCAAATCAAAACCCATAATTATAATATGATGGAAGGATCAATTCCGGTTGCATTGATTATAAAAATCCATTATAAGGCCATGAACTCGCCTTTGCCTTACAACACAAAAGACATTCGACCGAGGAGAAACCTTTATCCTACAAACGAGACTTAACTAAGTTTAAGACTATCATCCCCGAGACCCATTAGATGGAAAGACATAGTCTACCCGACGAATGGATCTTAGAAGGCATAAGCGGACTCGAATCTCTACCAATGCCGGATATTTCGAAACCAAATACCCAAATCGGATCTATAACACAACACCTAGATGGGAGTGTTAGACTTTCATTTGACAAAAAATTTACCGAGTAGTAGATTTTCCGATGTTGCTTCAAGTTCTAAAACCTTTAATTTAGAAAGATTTTCTAATATTCCTTCTTTCATTAACCTTCCAAATACTAGGAGAGATAAAGACCTAGAATAGATTCTACCACCTCTTAGTACGCATCATAGGTTTTCAACTTCGATGTTCCAACTCCTATTTTACATAATGTTGATTATTGTATAAACATCTCAAAACCTAGATATTCTAATCGAGATGAATCTTCATTTTTATCTCCTATTGCATCCGTTGTCATTGAAAACATTGCTAATGAATGTAATGCTTTGTCGATGATATGTTTGTAGTAGATAAAAAATATTTGTATGATGATTTCTATACAAAACATAATTCTGAAAAAATAATTTGGTTCTTCAAAAACTTTCTTGCCAACGGAAAGAAATTCAAAATGAATTTTATGAATTTGTAAATATGCATAAAGTTTATATATTATTCTTTGATTGGTTTGAGATGTATGCTTGTGAACATGATATATCTTATCCATTCATTAAAACCCCGAACCCAATGACTACTAGGAATAAAACTCCCCTTTAGGAAGTAGAAGGAAAGAGTATCCAGTCCGAACATCCTCCTCCTATGAAGCTTACCTTCTCTCACGGAGAAGCCAAAATAGAAGCATGTCCTTACAAAATTCCCAAGGATGATGACTCTACCAATATCCAAAACATTGTTCAACAGAACAATTTCTCAAATGTCAACCTCCAAACCATAGGAAAACAACTAGTTAGGATAGAAAACCATATCCGGAAGACAATTATTTCTCCCTTATTATCTCTAGAAACAGTTGAAGAAAAGAGACTTAAGAACCCAATTTTTAAGCCATTTCGGGTTTTTAGGATAAGTCAACAACAAATCCAAACCAACAAACCCGAGTTTCTAAAAGCCATTAGAGACCGAACTTAG